ATATTTAGGCTACCAAAGTTTAGCATCCAAGATTGATAAAAAAAATTATTCAATTCGAAGGAGTTGTTAATGGGTTGCTAATTTTTGATGGCAAAGGTGGATACATTTATGGTGAGTTTGTTTTATGCATCAAGAAGATTGAAATCACCAATTAGGATATTTATAATGATGGACATATGATTGTTCATAGAATTAGTCGCTTCTTTAAGAGAAAGATTGTTCGAATCCTTAATATTTAGTGAAGGCAAGCATAATGTGTGTGTTTGTATTATTCGATAGATGTTGTGATGTATGTATGTATTGCATGCTTTTATTAGAAAATAATGACTTTGTTATTAAAAAGTTATGACTATTTTTATTTTATTTCTTGAAGTACTCGGAATTTAATCAAGTATCTTGCTTAATTTGCAATACTTAGCTCTTTAGTTTTTTGTTTTTTTTTGGTAGTGTTTGTTCTTAGATTTTTCATATTTTCATATGCATAATTACATATCAAACTAGTCATAATGCCTTTGACCATGCTTAGAATGCTTAACTCGTGTTGCATGAAATTTTTTTTATGAATTTTTTATTGGATTGATGCTGAAAAAATTGTTCTATTTCTCATAGACATACCATAGTTGTATATGAATGGAAGTAATGAGCCTTTTTTTTATATGAACGATAATAACTCATAAAAAAGAAGAAGATTATTTTTAAGGAAATTAGTAATATGTCTTTTTTAATTGAGTTTAAGATGAAAATAAAAACCATCACCAAACTACCAATCATAACCGCCTACACCAAAATCATAACTAAAAGAAGCAAACGAAATAAATAGCCATCAAACTACGATAAAAGGTTCCATCGGCAAATAATATTAGTAAAATAAAATAAATAAAACTGTAATAATTAAGTGATACTTAATAGAAGGCATACCAAAAGTTCTATTAGCAAAGATCATTAAGAAAAAAAAATTAAAAATATTGTCATTACCTCTCAAACTCGCACACATTAGTATTTTTTTAGACAAAACACACAACCTCGACCCATCTAATTAAAACCACAAAACCAAATTTTAACAATAGCATAACCCAAACACACAACATTAGGTGCCCACCCCAATATATCAACTTTGTTCATAAAACTATAACCAAACAATTATATTTCTAATAATCCATATTCCTATACGATCCTATCTCATATAAGAAGGAGATAGACATGAACACATGAAGAGCAAAGTGAAATTAAGAACATCATCCTCATAACGAACTAAAAGTGTGTTGATTCGAAAGTAAGACATTCAAACCAAACGAATTTGCTCCTCTTATATACTCAAAGCCTAACCAACAACATTGAAAATCAAACCTAGCAAACAACTATCAAAAAGTAAAATAAAAAGGAAAAAAAGAGACTGATTGATTATTAGAAAAAGCCAAAGAGTCATGTGTAGCCAATGGATTAATCTAGAAGAATGCAAAGAGCTTGCTAATAAAAAATTAGTTACTTTTGATAATTAATATAATGGATTGACTTATTATAATAATGATCCTACATGATTCTTTCCCGATTATAACTAATAAGAATAAAAATCTTGTGTTGTATAAAAAAAAGTACTTCAAACACTTTCCAAGAAAAAGGTATGGACACTCGTCCATTTGTCATAATCAATGATTCTTTCTTTCATTTTATTGTGTAAAATAAAGTAGATAGATAGAGAAATATAAAGTGGTGCGATAATGATCATGTAAATGACTTGGGTTCAACATTGAGGATTCTTTGTGCAATTCTACTCTCATGATATCACAAAAATTTATTTGATAAGATGTTTTCAAGTCTACATCTTTAAACTACAATCAAGTGGGAGGAAAATAGGAATTGATAAGATTTACAACGAGTGAATACAACTATAAATTAAAGTAATAGACTCTACAAAGGGGAAATCGAGTTTGATTTAGAGCTAAACGAAAGTAACATAATCCTTAAAAGAAAAATCAATATGCTTTAGACCTAATACGATAAACTATTTAGTTCAAGATTAGATAATATAGTGCCCAACAATCAGAATGCTAATACAAGCCACTACCAAAATTTGTCAAAAATTCTAATACACAAAAGAAAGAAAGTTATGATTTAACTTAGGAATCGAGTCTTCTATATCTTTAAGTAGAGTCATCTACTATAATTGAACTTTACCTTGTTGTTTTGAGGAATACTAATCTTGATATATTAGATCAATAAAAGTGCATGTAAATAAATCGAGTTCATGTTATAATTTTTCTATTTGAAAAAATAGTGAACATCTTAAATATTTTTTTAAAACTTGTATAGATTTAGAAAATAAGAAAAAAATTTAGGGATAAATGTTATATTTGAAAAAGAAAATTCTTATTTTATGCCTTTTTATGAACATAATTTTCAAAAACCAACTTTAGTTTTTAATGTGTGATCAACTTTAGCCTCTAAGAATTATCTTGCCATATGTTGGCTTGTATTTTGGATGTGTTTATTTGTAGTTTTTGTTTCTTATTCCTATTTTCTCTAATTTTTTCTTTGAATGATAATAATAATAAAATCAAGAAAGACAAAATGAACAATTACACAAAAAAACTAAAGGATTTTGGGTGTTTATTGTTAATTCACAATATCTTAAGTAGGGGTGAGCACTATTCGATTAAAATCAAAAAATTGAATCGAACCGAATCAAATTAATAATTTCGGTTCGGTTTTGTACAAAAAACTTAGAAAAAAAATCAAACCGAAATTATTTCGGTTTGATTTGGTTTTTTTTTAATTCAGTTTCCACCGAAAATCAAAACTGAATTAGTGTTTTTTTTTTTAATTCACAAGTGGAGTTATTTTTTGGTTGCTTTGGTATTTTTCTAGTTTGGTGCTTTTTTTACTTTCATGCAAGGTGAAGCATGCTGTTTATTCTTACTTAAATGGGTGACATCTTTCCGATCCTAAGAAACAGACCTGTTGGATTAGAGCTTTTATTGATTAGGGATTTGTTTCCTTAAGAAATGCTTTTGCTGACTTGTTAAAAATGAAGAACAAGAACCGAATTGAGAGAGAACATTAATTCTGGTACTGGTAGCTTGAATGGAAAATTGAAAGCAGATACAAGTTTAAAGAAGAAAACATTATCAAAGCAATTTAATGGGAAAAAAAAAGAGTGAACAGATGGCAGCCTTATAGTATTCAAATGGACTTTTATGTACTTTGGTAGTCACAAAACAATCACTCATATCTTCTAGCCTTAGCCTTTTACAATAGGTATGCCGTACAAAAAAAATTGAAATAATAAAATAATTATATTATATTATATTTGCTCACAAACATTGAAGTCATAAAAAATTACTTTAACAAATATTAAAATAATAAAATAATTGATTACAAAAAGAATTAATTTCAGTATGATATTTTTTAAAAGCAATTAATTCGGTTTTTAAAAGAAAAGAGGTAAAAAAAATAATTTTTAATTGAAAATAAAAAAATTGAATAAAAAAAATCAGTTTTTAACCGAGAAACCGAACTTCAATTCGGTTTAATTTTGGTTTTTATTTTAATCAATTCGATTAACCAAAAAAAAAAAAAAACTAAAATCGAATCGAAAAACCAAATGATTATCCCTAATCTTAAGACTCATGTGTCTTGTGGACTCAAGCTTGACATTTTTTAATTTTCAAGCTATTTTTAGGCAATAATATGCGAATTATATAAAATTTTGCACTTTAGTCTATGATGTTTTCATATATTTTATTTTGATTCATAACTTTATTTATAACACACTTTGTTCTCTAGATGCAAAAAAGTGAAAAACAAAGAGATAGAAGGAAAGAGAGAGAAAGCATTAATCGGGCCTATTCCGATCAATTTGATCGACAATATTCCATTCAATTTGTTTATCTTGGAGGTTGAAATTGTTTATAATGGTTTTAAGATCTAAAATAATTGAAAGAGGTAGATCGAGACTCCAAAACATTATGAATTTTTAATTTTAATTTTTTTTATATGTGCATTAAAATGAGTTTTAATGTTTTAAACATGTTTATTAACCTCATTCAAAGTTTTTAATGTGTTTTGGAGCAAAAATAACAAACTCAAAAATCCATTTTTTTCCCAGCAAACTTGTGTTTATCGGAAGTTGTAGTGGAAGATAAATACATTGCTGTATAGCAACAAACGACACATCATCCATTGGTTATTTTTTTTCCTTTTTTATGTGGTTTGGTTTTCTTTTTTTAACAATTTATTTTTATTATTAATTTTGTGCCAATTTTATAATGAAAAAAAAATCCATTTTTTTTCATGCATCATGACAATTAAAAAAAAATTCTTCAATTTTTCATTTCTGATTTTTTTTGCTTTCAAAATTTAAGATGATTTCTTCGATTTGTCATTTTTTTCTATAAATATATAATTTATTTTTCTCTATATATAATTTTTTTAAATAAAATTTTAAAATGTAATTTTATTAATATAATCAATTCTTATAATTTTTAAATAAGAACTATATATATATATATATATATATATATATATATATATATATATATATATATATATAAGGTTGAACAATCAATTAAAAAATAAATTTTACGTGTTATTCAAAATAAAAATTATTTTTTTTCAGTTGAAAATTTATTAAAAATACAATATATATATATATATATATATAATTAATTAAATATAAGATTTTGATTTTTTTTTTCAAATTTGATTTTTATTTTATTTTATCTTTGATTCTATATATTTATTTTAGTAGATCTACTCTCTGATTCATAGTGCTAAGATCAAACTAGTATTCAACTAAATCAAAAGTACACATACTAGACATTATTGAAAAAAAAAATCATACGGAGTATTTAAACACGAAACAAACACCACATTATATATCATATGTATTGAGAAAAAAAGGAGGAGGAGGAGGAAATAAGCACAAATGCAATTCATGTATAAAATAATTAAGAGGAATAACTAGATATATATATAGATACCTAATAGTCTCTCCAGTATAATCAAATCACCGCTATATCTTGTCCAACTCTAGGACTATTTACTTTGTAACGAGGATTAAAGAAGTTCTCAACTCCATGAACAAGAATATGGCCATCATTGTAGATATCCCACTGCGTAATTGTCACATTATTGATACAAGGGTAGGCACCTGTAACTGTATCAGGCACTTCGCTGACAGTAAGATCATAATGCAAATCACAAGTGAGCAGCTTGGATCCCTCGGAAATAGACCCCGTGTCGAAAGCTTCTTTATCAACCTTTGATGTTACAAACTGGTAATCAAGTATGATCCAACTTTCAAAACGGAAAGCTTCATCAGGAGGAGCAAATATGGTGACGGTATTGTTGTTAAATATCTTGACGGTGTCTGTGTCGTTGGGGTCATATATGAACCGACCGCCACTCCCAAATGGTACAATTTTAACGAGTTGGTTCTCAAGAACTAGTGACGCGATTTTGTAGCCTGCATCCCAGAGAGATTTTGTGATATTTTTAACATCAACTTCTACATATGTGCCACTTGGATTGAAAGTAATGAAGTATTCATCCCTTGGTCCCATTGGAATTTCAAATTGGTGCGTAGGAGTTAGGGTTTGAAGGAGGAGGAGGAGGAGGAGGAGAAAAGGGAACAAAGGAACAGACTTAGATGCCATGAGATCAGAAAAAACAATAGTTGATTTTGCGAAAAGCAAACAAGAAGTGTTAAGATAGACCAAAAGCAAAAAAAAGCACAAACAGTAGTATTTGGTAATGGAAAGATGGGTGAAGAATGGCTCTCTGCTCTCTACTAATAGAGCATCTCAATGCAATTAAGACTCCAAATTGGAGTAGTTGAAGAAGTTTAAGATAATTAAATGACATAAATATCCTCAACGTATGAACAAAAACTACAACTTTCTTTCACTTGTCAAGACTATTTTTGTAATTTAATAATCAATCTTAACCCTAAAATCTCCCGTCTCGTTAGGTTTCTCTGATCTATAGGTAAAACAAGAACGAGACGATCAGTTTTTAACTTAGCAAATCTAAAATCTATGATTGTGGAGGTGTCCTAAAGATTCTGATTGGGAAGATATTTGTGCCATAAATAAGCGTCTCTTAATCCTTTTTCCTTCACGCACACCTGACTTGTACTTTCCTGGTACGGCTCTAACCTCCTAATTCAGCATTCCTCGTATCTACGCCTCACTTGTTTATATAACAATCTGTTTTGAAACTTAGTTTTTATAAATCGCCTGTAAAACCGCTTTGTCAACATGGCTTCTTTTAGTTCTACCGTCAAGTTTCTTCTCTTTATTGTTTTTCTCCTCGTTGTTCAAGTTTGTTCAGCTCCCCAATTAACCCTTAAAAGAGATGATCCACTTAGATCACCACCTATAATGGCTTTTAGATCAAAGCCAAGTAGCCCCAGGGTGGATATAGAAATTGGAAAGATCACAAAAGCTATATGGGATTCAGGTTTCAAAGTCATGTCTCTAATGCTTGAGAGAAATCTCAAGGTAGCCATATCTTATCAAGAATTTGAAGCTGGTAGCAACTCAACCATCACCTTATACAACAACCAGGCAGTCACCATATTTGTTCCCAATGATGATGCTGTTCGTTATGAGCATTATTTCCCGTGTCAGAATTTAGGCTATCAAATTGCAGCATCCAAGGTTGATAAAAAATTGTTCAGTGCTTTAGAGAAGAATGCTGTCCATGGGTTGCCAACTTTTGATGCCGAGCTGGGTCAATCCGTTTATGCACATATTGCTTCTTACTGGCGTAGTGGTGAAAACGGTGAGCTTATTGAACTGGAGGAGTTCTGCATCAACAATGTTAAAATCACCAACTGGGATATCTATAATGATGGGCATGTGATTGTTCATGGAGTTGACGGCTTTTTTAACAGAATGGCCGGCCACAATATTTGGCTGTTGGGAATGAAGCGGGGAACTATGAATAATGAAAATAATTTGTTCGAGGATGGTGAAGGGCTGAATGCAAGCAGAACATATATACTTTCCCTGGTAGATGTTGCACGGGTACAAGTTACTGCACTGTGTTATTATATGCTTGCGCTATTTGACAACTTTTACCAAGTTATCTAATTTTTTTGGTTGTTTTCGAGAGTTTCTGTTGGAGATGTTGCTGTTGTCTTTTTATTTTAGTTCTTTTAAAGTCTATTATAAGAATTTAATATAAATATCATACTTTGCAACAACTACTGTTTTTTTTAGTAGAAGGGCACGATTACTTCTTGGATTTTTTATGTTTTCATCTGCATAATTTCCATTGTTCGAGAATCAAGAAGTTAAGAACAGAGTAGTGCTTAGAACAGTCTCCCATGCATGATACCTAACTATACTAGCAGAAAGACAAACTTTAAGGGGCAGTAAAAACAGAAACAGAAGTAGCTGAGATTCTAAAAAATAAGTAAATAAAATTCCAGACCTGTACATATTGTAGTATTGGTGGTATAACAGGCTCCACAAAGTGGGAAAGCCGGTCGCCAGAATTGCAATCACGAAGTTAGGAGTGCAGTAGTGCTTCGAAATCCCAAGCATGAAGCCTAGCTCTACCAGCAGAAAGAGAGAAACTTTAAGCAGCAGGAAAACAAAAACAGAAGTAGCTTAGATTCATAATTCCAGACCTTTATTGTAGCACTGGTAGTAACAGACTCCAGAGTAGGAAACCTGGTGGTTCCAAGCTAATACAGAAAAGTGTTTGGTTCGAGATTAGCTAGCATGGTGCCCAAGAATCAGGAGGCTAAAACAGACGACAAACAGTAAATATTGCAGTGCCTGATTTCCATGACAATCACTATCCATTTCTGTAATTTCCAAGCACTAATCGCTAACTCGAGCTGTGAAAATTCTAATATATAGTAGGAAGATAAATATGGTTTAGGGAATCAGTCATCTACATCTTTAGGGAGTCGTCTACAGTAACTGAATTTTATGTTGTTGGTCTGAGGAATAAACAGGAGATCAAAAGCAATAGAACAGAGTAAAATACATTGTGAAACAAGCGCTACTCAACAAAATTAATTAATGAAATAAAGTCAACTTCTATTTTATGATTGATTGAGAGAAGTTATATTATTCAACCATTAATTGTGAATATTTATGTAAAAATGCACAACAATTTTGTTGCTCAATAAACAACAAAAGGTAACACTATCTTGACAAGATCAAGCATATCCCTTTCTAATTTTCAGAAAATTTTAGGAAAGTTTAGAAGAGATGTTCTGCATAAAAGAATATAAATCCAGATTAGTTCCCCTCCGGTTGAGGCAGTAGTCTTGACTTAAAGAATGGATTTCATAAGAACTCCAGTCCACAGGGAAACGATGAGACATCATGAATTAAATTGGCGGAATTACTCAAAAAGGTTGTAGTTTCTACTTCAGTTATGCCTATCCCTAAAAATTTATTCCATGATCTTACATATAAACAAGCTTATATGGTCAATTCCTGGAGAATTGCCAGACATTATGTATCATGTTTAGGTAGTTCTCAGGTAGTGGTTGTGACAGTCATCTACGTAACACAATCGGCATAATAGAAAATTATACGTAGTAGAAAACGGAATGAACCATTTGGTGATGACGTTTGAGGAAGAAAAAATGTTTGATTTTAAGCAGCAAAACTGTAAGCTGATTTTGAGACAAATACTAAATTGAGCTACCTTGGAGATTACTGCCAGAGAGTATCCTCGTGATCTTTTGTTATCTCCCCAAATATTATTATCCTAGAAGTCATTCTCTTTCTCCTTCTCCAACGGCAGAAGATTCATACTAATTTCTTATCCCTCTCCCCTTTTAGTATATTGGAGATTGCTTATCAAAAGAAGATCCTTTTTTTCACATTCTTTCTCTTCCTGTCCTTCCCATGGTTTCTCTAGCTGACAATACTTTCTGCTACCCTTAAATTCTGAAGCATAATCAGATCAAACTGCAAAGAAGATTGAATCCAAAAAAAATATGATAATGATTAAAAACGGCCCTTGTGTTCCAATCTCTTCTTTCTCCTGTGCCGTCTCTGCCATATCCAGGAACACGGCCTTTTTGTGATAGGATCCTCTGATATGTTGGTGTACTTTATAAGTTAATCAACGTACCATATTTGGATAGCACAAGCCAAATAATACTAACACGAGCAGTCAGATTTATTGCTATGGACACTGTATTTGCTATAGTTCCAGCACTCCTCTTGATTTTCTGCACCCACTTTGGGTTGACAATTGCAAACATCCTTGAATTCTCCGGTAAACAACCTACACGATTGATCACCAAACTCATTCACCATGATTCTATTGTCTCCCCCTATTACAGTTCCAATGACACAATTTCAGACCGCACAGAACGCACCATGAATACCTCACTTGCTCGTGTTGCCTACTTGTATGCAAAAATCGAAAGAGATTTTGATATCGATGATTTGTGGCTCAATCTTCATCCTAGTGCCTCTGAACCCTTGTTCTTAGTAAATTTCTCCATGGGACAGCCACCTGTTCCACAGCTCGCGATAATGGACACAGGCAGCAGCCTCTTATGGATACAATGCGCTCCTTGCAAAAGTTGTTCCCGACAAATAATTGGGCCAATGTTAGACCCCTCCATGTCTTCCACATATGATAGCTTGTCATGCAAGAACATTATATGTCGCTACGCCCCCAGAGGGGATTGTGACTCGTTGAGTCGATGTGTGTATAACCAAACATACGTAGCAGGGCTTCAGTCAGTAGGAGTCCTTGCCACAGAACAACTAATCTTTGGAAGTTCAGATGAAGGCACAAATGCTGTCAATAATGTGCTGTTTGGGTGCAGTCATAGGAATGGAAATTACAAGGACCGGCGTTTCACTGGGGTCTTCGGACTCGGCGGTGGAATCACATCTTTAGTAACTCAATTGGGATCTAAATTCTCCTACTGCATCGGTAATATTGCCGATCCTTATTACAGTTATAACCAGTTGGTTTTAGGCGAAGGAGCGAACATGGAAGGCTATTCAACACCTTTAGATGTAGTTGGTGGCCATTACCAAGTCACCCTGGAAGGGATTAGTGTTGGAGAGAAGAGGCTTGTCATCGATCCTAGTGCTTTTACAAGGAAAGGGAAGGAAAGCAGAGTAATAATTGATTCAGGAACAGCACCAACTTGGCTAGCTGAAAACGAATATAGAGCGCTTGACAGGGAAGTCCGCAATCTTTTGGACAGATTCTTGACACCATTTCGGCAGGAGTCATTCTTGTGTTACAAGGGGATAGTAAGTCAAGACCTTGTTGGGTTTCCAGCAGTGACATTTCACTTTGCTGGGGGTGCAGATTTGGTGTTAGACACCGAAAGCATGTTTTATCAAGCCACACCAGATTTATTTTGCATGGCTGTGAGGCAAGCTAGCGTCTACAACAAAGATTTCAAGGATTTCTCGGTGATCGGGTTAATGGCTCAGCAGTACTACAATATGGCTTATGACCTTAAACAGCGTAAGTTATTCTTCCAGAGAATTGATTGTGAACTTCTTGATGAGTAATTCCATCATCTGACCTTAAATGTTTATACTATAAATGACATGCAATTCCTTTCTACATTAACATGGCAGTTACAGTGTGCATATAATTCCCTTTAAAGGAGAACCAAAACAAGTAGGGGAACAATCATACCTCTAAATAATCCTCATTTAATTTATGCGATACCTCTTAACTCCATGTAGAGCACAATAAACCTAACCAATAAGAACTTTCCATGAAAAAAGACATCTGGGAACTGTCTTACTGCATTGAGAAATAACATAAGACATCAATCCAGAAGCTAGCATATCCCATAAAGACGCTTTAAGAAAGGAAAGGTTGCAGAAGCTAACATCCAAGTGTACCCGTAATCTTATTTGCGTATGTTAGATATAGAATTATCAAGCCTCAAATTCATAGCTTAAATTTTAGTTACATGATTCTTTAGTAGCCTTCGTATTTTATGTCAGCAAGTTCCCAACACTGCTTAAAGAGTAATTGGATACTTGAGAAAATAAAGAAGAAATGGGTTCTAAGTAATCTATGTGGGATTGTAATGGCTTTTTGTTGTTGAAAAGGATTTAATAGCAACAGTTTAAAAATCACAAGAAGCTTAAATGTATACAGTATTAAGTAGTAGGTGTTTTTTTCCCCACTTGTATGAGAGGGATAGTTCTGATGTTACATGAACATCTGCTTCATGAGCCAGGTTGCGGTGTTCCATGCCATATTTATTTGCTTTTTCCTTTTTTTCTTTTTTCTTCATGCACTCGTTTCTCATTTTGCTGAAATTGGCTAATATGATCTTTTTTTTTTTCTCATCTTAATACCTATTGTATGTATTATCCAAACAGAACCAATTCAGTTTTTTTTTTTTTTAACTCACACACTCACAGCTTCTAACAGAACCAGTCTCCTAAAATTTGAACCCGTAACCTCTTGCAAGAGACCACTATCCGTGACCTTCTAACAGAACTAATCAGTTTTCATCTTTAGCTAAAAACAGGCAGTTAGTAGGTTTCCTCCCTTTCTTCCTTGCCGGTGAATTGAATTAGCCTCAGCTTTTAAATTTTTGAACTGCAAATTCATTACGGTTATTAGTAATAGACCACACAATCTTGCATAGCCAATGAACTCTGAAGCATTGGAAACGATTTGGAATCCGTAAGGGAAATAGCAGGAGAAACTAAATGCTGCATACAATATAGAATTTTCCCATTGGCTTACTAAAACTGCATCATTTTACCAAAGAAGTAATCTCTCAGATGTTTTGGATATGAAGGAGATTACTCGTTCAGCCAAGAATGATATTTTTTCAGGGAAATACAGAACACCAAAAATGACATAAATGCCAAAAAAAAAAAATGAAGGTAAAAACAGCAGAATACACTGGAAGAAAATGTGTAGACAAGGAGAGAGCTAGCGGAAAGTTATACTGTCAGATGAAGCAGGCATCCTTAATCACCAAACTGATTCAGCATGACTCCACATCCTCTACATTATAGCCCCAGGAAAGTATGGAAGACCAGAATGAACCCACAGTGAGAAGTTCATTTCCAGGCTTAAAGAAATACAAGGAAAGGTGGAAAGGAGTTGACCATGGTGGAGTTAAGATATGGAGTCCCTTCTTCAAGAATGATGTTCATACTTTTTTAGAAGATCTTCTTCCCAGCGAGTTAGAGGTCCACCTTCTCATGAATTTCTCTTGAGGCCAACCAGCCGTGCCACAACTCACAATCATGGACACTGGGAGCAGTCTCCTACTGTTTCGGTACATGCTTTGTAAGCATGTTCCCAGACATCAACCTATGCTAATTTGCCCTGCCATTCTCCAGGTTGCAGTTATGTTCCTCTTCACGATAAAAGTTTTTCGGACATGCATGTACAAAATGACGTGCTAAACGTCCTAGATCACTAGGAATAGTTGGTACCGAGCCATTCGGCTTTGGTACATGAAATGAAGATCCTGATATGGTGCCTGAAGTAGTGCTTAGTTGGAGTCAGGAAAACCAGTAAGCGCAAACCTACGATAACTCTTATAGATGAACTTGGACCCAACCCTACAACCCCTTTTCTCTAACTCAAATGGAAAACAACCTTTCTTGTTGCGTTGGTATCTTATGTCATCCATACTATAGCCGCAATTAGTTGATTTTGGGTCACAGGGCCTAAGTGGAAGGCTTGGTCCATGCATTTCAGATAGATTTTAGATGTTACCAGTTACCACGCTGCTCTAGAAGGAATAAGTGAGGAGAGAGAAGATAAATGTAGATCCAACAAAGTTTTACAAGACACAAAGTTATAACAGACTACCTTTGCCATTCACCTAACGACTGCTCAGGAGTTCAAATCCTTTGTTTAATCCTCTCATAACTTAAGCGTTTGGATTAAATGGTTCTTAAATAATGTGTTTAAAAAAGTCGCCACAAAAAATGGATGATGTGACCATTGATTCTGGACGTGCAGTTACCTTACTAGGTGATAGTCTATTCGAAGCACTAAATTACTAATTCCATTGCTAGGTTGATCTTTGTGTGAATTTGTGCTACGAAGAAAACACCGACCAAGCTCTATAGGGCTTTCTGGTAGGTAGGAATGGCAATGGCCCTGCCTTCACCTCGTCTTTGAAAATTTTACCCTGTTATCATCCCATGCCTCACACAAGGTAATATTTTTTATATCATTTCCGCCCCAAATAGGGATGGAGATCTCCGAAGGGCACCGATGCCTTGTTTAATTTTCTGTTTCCATCTCATCCCGCTCCATTCTATAATCAAATTTCAAATTATAGTAAAAAAAAAAATGATAGTTCATAAAAATAATAATAATAATAAACCACGAGAGTCGATAGTTATATATTTTATATAAGGTATAATTATAATTTCAGGAATGAAGTAAGACAAACCCCATTCCTTAATCAGCTCGAAGAATCCCCGCATTAATCAGGACAGGGCAGGGCTTCGTCGAGCGGAGCAAATTGCCATCCCTACTAGTAGGCACACTCAACTTTGCAGATCGGACTGATACAGTAATGGGCATTGACAGCATGGTTTACCGACACAGACGAGATGTATTTTTCATGGTTATCTATCCAAGTTCTTGCAAGACATGAAAATCTCACAATAATTGGAATAAGGGTTCAAAGATTTCACAAGGTTGACGGATTGATTGTAAGCTTCTGAACTAATCACATTGTTTGAGAATTATCGACGTCCGATATTATTTAGTGTTCCATTGTTTCTGTAACCTATTCATAACTCATCATCAATTAGTGACATCTTTTGATTGATTTATATGGTACAGAACATAAAGTTCCTAATCAGTTTCGTTTTCGCGCTCCTGAAATCATCTGTTTTCTCCGCCACCAATACCAACCTACCAAATTTGATCATGCTTCTAGGTTCACTATGATCACTACCACCTACACCCTTACTTCAACAATCACTTGGCACTCCTAATTCAGAAAATCCATAATGATCCGTCAATATTAGCAACCAAAAAAAATTTCATGTCAACCATAAATTTTATGCCCACTAAATTCGTAAGATGATGAGATTGGATTTCTTCGCCGGAAAATCAGAATCCAGCTTTATTATGCAGGAAAATAATTGTTGAACAAGGTACTTGTTGCCAGTATTGGGCTTGTCCTAAACTCACCGAGTTGCCAACCTTGAAGAGAACGCGGATTGTTTTGGTTTGGCTGTCTGTTTAAGACCAAATAGCTAACGAAACAAAAGGAGACTTGGTCTAATGCCAGAGCACAGGATGTCTGGGATTTTGCGCCTGAGGATCATTGAAGGCTTGCTCTCTTCATTGTGCATGAAGCTGCAGTCCCACTAGCTTATTATACTTATAGTAACAGCAACAATGGCAATTATTAACCACCCAAAACCAAACCTAACCAAACGGAGATTACATCGACATTTCCCTTTCTCCAAAAGGCAAAGAAACACAATTCATCCTTGATAATCATGAATTTCCTCAACTTACACCAGATTGGCCAACTTCTCATAATCGCCTAAAATTGGCAAGCAACCTCCCTTTTAAATGGAACTTACTTCACCTAAAAGTCAGGTTTCACTAATCAGTTGTATGACTTATCTAGTTCTTGTCTTGACAAACTTGCCTCGTGAAGATTTCTTCTCCAACTTTTCCCTCTTCTTGCGGGTTTTTTCGTCCTCAGCACCTTCCTAATCAATGGAAGATCACAGACAGGTTCATATAGAGATCATAAACGTTTTAATGCCTTTAAAGATAGAGATCGTAGACGTATTAATGCCTTTAAAGATGGCCAAACAAAATAGGGTAAGAAAAGATACCTCTGAACCATGTGATAAAAATCCTCTAATGAATCCAAAAGATTTGTATGCTCCAAATGCTGGTATCTGGAAAGAAACATGGAAGAGTAACTTGATTATGTGGATAAACTATCATTTTACATTCCCGCATCCAAGCAAGGTATTCAGTAGATACCCCAATACGGAACCAACATCTCACCATGTACATAATCATAAAAGTTCTCTCCATATATATCTTCAATAACATCTCTAAAATGGAATAGATAGCTCCTACTGCAGGCCCTAGTTTCACATCATTCTTTTCAAGAACTCTCCTCAACCCCCAATGCATTACCCTCGCCCTTCCCCCTAGAAAGAAGGAAACTGAGGGCCAGGTGTCCCCAATTGGAAAGGCAAGGGAAGATTTTACCAAGGAGCTTGTTCTTCTAAATGATCCGTTAAAATACCATTTTCCCTTTATTTAGAGTTGCATGTTTTGTCATAGCATGCAAGAATACAGAAAGAATAAATCACAAAATGCGCCAACAAACTAGCCAAATAAACCATATCTTGACATCAATTTTGAATTGAACTGTTCAGATCCTATGTTTGTAGCCTATTATAACTGTACAAACTTTGCTCCATATATATGAGTTAAAATTTATGTCAGAAACTGAAGTAATGTAATCAAACTATTTCAATATTCATACTCTTATCGCCATAGGATTAGCTAAAACTACTTATCACGGAATTAAACAATGCCAACAACAAATCCAAAACGTATTTGAGAAATATCAAATATATATTTCAGACACATTTAAGAAACTTAAGATGCATATTTAAAAAGGTACTGTTGGCCTATCTTTCCTTCCAATGCAAGAATGGCATATCAGTAATCGTATGCTACAAATTTACTCTTTCTCAAGAAAATTCCAAAAGCATTCACGGTGATTTAACATGCACATACAGATGCAATTTTATGAGAAAAGCAAGTAAATGGGATCTTACCACCAAGTATGTGTACCAAAACTTTCCAGAGATGATGGACATGAGTTGCACAAAGCTTGTAATGTAGATAACATCATGTAGATAGCTGCAAGATATCACCAACATCAGGCAACAATATCTATCTTATCACATAAAATACTAATCTCCCACAAACAGAAGCAAAATTGGCATAAAACCCACAACACAATGTGTAAAAACATATTAGCCGCGATTTATTCCACTCAAATTCGGTAGCCTTCATAAGTACCTTTTACTTAAGAAGCGGGAAATAAAAAAAAGATGCAGGGAATTCTAAAATTACACCAATTTGCATTGAAATAAAAGAGGGGAAAGACATACCCACAAATTCCGCCAGTACTCATATCAAATCCACCATCAAGAAGGTCACCGTCGGCTGCATAAGCAGGGCTGGCCATTGCAGCAAGTTGTCCATAAGGTATATAATAAGCCGCAGAGGTCAAAATTAGACCAATCCAATGTTTCCACGTGAAACTTGAATGGAAAATCACCATCCTCACCAGTACATAAATAACCTAGATTAACAAAATAATCAAATAAAATAAGAAAGACGAAAAATCGGCAAGTTAATCGTGAAATGACTTCTGTTTTACGAGCTAAGACTAATTAATTGAGAAATGATATGGATGAGAGAGTAGGCGCATACGTTACAGGCGATGATGAGGCGACGGAGGTTCGCCATGTGACGTGCGTTCTCTTCCCTTCGCTTCTTTGCGCCTTGATTTGCCATTTCCTTTCTGTGATGATTCTATCTCTGGATGCCAAAAGTTTGATCTGTTAAGGGCTTGAAAATATTAGTTTGTTTGTGTGTCTAAAGGAATCCAGGAAGAGTCAGCAAATTGAAGAAGCTGCGACTTGTGAAGGAGACGAAAGGCGAAGCCAGATCACCAGCGTTGAGAGGTTGGTCGTTGAACGGCGCTGTCGGATTTGAGCATTCGATCCTGTAATCATTTATCTGGGCCTCAGGCCCATGTTGGTATTTTGCTTGTACCTATTTAGTTTATTACACGTTCTATCGTGCATGACCTTTCAAATTTTACTCATTCACTCTTTTTATTTTTATTTTGATATTTGAGTGTATAAATTTTTTGAATTTTTTTATAAAATTTATTTATTAAATTCAGTCAAAAATTCGTTAATATGGCCTTTAAATTGAAAAATAAAATATATTTCAAATGTGCATGAACTTTTTCACTATATTTTTACTTTAAATTTTATTTGACTTTGTGTATAAATTACCATAGATGGTTTTGTTTTCCATGCACTATCTCGATTTCAAATTCAAAGAATGGTTGTCGTTGTGTGTTAAAAAAAAAAAAAAAAATTATGAATGCATTGGTTTAGGCAGATTCAAAAACAACTCAAGTTTACGGGTACAATATCAAAACTAATTTCATCACTAAATACACTTTATCTAATAGTTTGAAAATATTACTTGTAACGTGAGTATATACAAATTTTAAATCTAAATAAAAAATAATATAAAAATATTTTTAATATTATTATTATTTTTTTTTTGTCTATCTTTCTCTTCAAAATGGACCTATGAAGTAAGCTACTATATACGTCATTAGTTACTCCTTGTATATAGACAAATAATTAAGAGAGAGAAAATTAAAAAAATTGAATTAGAAATTCTTATCACTTTCGACGTGGAAATCTTCTTTGGGTTGAACGTAATTCTTTCTTCTTTTATTGTGTCCATGAAATAACACTTCTTGACTACTATAAAATTTCCCATATTATATTATATGCTTTGTACCATATAGGTTAAAAGGAACAAGTACGAAATACTATAAGAAAAAAAGCATGTATATAAATTTTTTTTCTGTTTTTCTTTTGCAAAGGAGAGTAGACTAATTAAAACTTAATTTAAAGATATAATGATTGTCATCAACATAAATCTCTTTTACAGAAAGAGAAAAGTAAAGGAAATTAACACACAAAGACATCAATTCTACTAGATGGGAGCAACCCGGAACGACACAAGGGGCATGTGAACTTCCTTTTGAACCACTCTACAACGCAAGTCTTATGGAATTTATGAGAGCAAGGCAATTGAACGACCACAGTTCCAATTGTCATCTCTTGTATGCAAATTGGGCATAGCGATTCATCATGGTGGTCACCATCAATTGTCCCATTCTTCCTTAATATGACCGTTATTGCTTCTTTAAGTGCCTCTGTAGTCTTCTTCAGATTTTCTGTACTCTTCATCAGATTTTCCATACTCTCCTTCAGATTTTTTTATCCTCCTTTAGATCTTCTACCATCAATGACATTCTACTCAAATTTATTCTATTGGAACTCAAAATCTCATCCATGAACGACCTTATAGAAGATAACCTACTCAAAAACTCATCCCTATTAAGCATCCTTGATTCATCTCCTTCCATATTTTGAATCTGAACCTCTCTTTTGTATTGAAAAAAAAAAAAAAAAGAAAGAAAAGTAATCGTTGATTTCTTAATCGAATAATTAATTAAAAATAAAAGCTTTTCTCTGAAGGCCTTACATATATATAGCCAAGCTTTTTATTTCTAGTTGTCCTCTTCCCGTAACAAATTTGAGTTAGAAGAGGATTTCATTGGTTTTATAAATATAGAGCTCTTTTCCTTTTAGAAGTCTGAAGTCTATATGTATCCATCAAGAATACTCAAAACCATATATATTTTAAAGAGGAAATTATAAATTAGTTTTTTTTTTTTAAAAAAAAACGAATTAATTATTTCAGCTGTTCCCATGTGATGTTTACTTTTTTTCATTTTTATTGTAAGCATGTGCTTGACAAATCATCGAAAAGGCATATGGCCAAAGTGCAGGGGACACCCCGAAAATAGATAAATTAATCTAATCATTAAGGAGAAGTAATTTAACAATTTGGATCCAACTTACATGGAGTCCAGAAGTTGGGGGAAAATCTCTCGACTCACAGTAATTTTGTACTTAATTATTTTTTTACGAAAGGGTTTGATTACGTCATGTGAGAATTTCTCGTTAGAAGGACTCTCTGTGCCTATAGTTTTTGGGGTTCTGAATGCGATTAGATTATTATTATAAACTTTATTATCGGGATACTAAAAGCACCCTTGCGTTTGTCAGCTGGGTGGAGCCGTAGAGGATATGCCTTTTAGTTACCCACCAGCACATATTTCGTGCGGTTACGATCAGATGAGTTATATAATATTTTTATATGTTTATTTATATAAAATTTAAATTTTAAAAATAATTATTTAAAATGATCGTATAAAAAGATAAGTTATATAATATTTTTATATGTTCATTCATATAAAATTTAAAATTTAAAAATAATTATTTAAAAGGATTATATGAAAAAAAAAAAAAAACATATATCTCATATTTTGTCTGTAAGATTAGTTAAACGAAAAGTATACAAAATTGAGTAATATAATGTTACTAATTAGATATTGTTTGATATAAACATGCATTTTATTATAAATATATATAATAATTGATAATTAAAATAATGATGTGATAGTTTTTTGAATTTCGGATAATTTATTTTTACCATATATTCTAATAAAATGAGATAGAGAGACCACTCAAACAAAAAGACAAAAAAACTTTGTCAAATTAAGAATTTAGAAAAAGTAAATAGAGATAAAATTACACATGATAAAAATTAAAGGATCAAAACAAAGTAAAGATCATAAAAAAAGGATTAAAATAAATAAATAAAGTTTCACTAAAAGAAAAAAAACTTATAAATAATAAGACTCGTGAATAGTTTTACTAAAAGCTAAGAAAAAAATATTTATTATAGAGAAAAAAATCAAATATAATAAAATTTAAATAACTAAAATAATAAAATATTACAAAACAGGAATTATAATAAAAATAAAATTTATTAAAAACCAAAAGAGGGGCTTAAAAAATGCAAGAAGAGAAAAAACTTATTCATTATAGGGATAAAATTTTAATGATCAAAATAAAAAAATTACAAAATAGGGACTAAAATAAAAATAAAATAAAATTTTAATATTTATTATAAGGATAAAAATGAAATATAATAAAATTTTAATAACCAAAATAAAAAAGTAACTAAATAGGGACTAAAATAAAAATAAAAATCACTAAAAGTCAAAAGAAAAACATAAAAAATGCAACAAGAGGTGAAAAAACTGATTTATTATAAGGATAAAAATTAAATATAATAAAAGTTTAATGATTAAAATAAAAAAATTATAAAATAGGGACTAAAATGTAAAATTTATTAAAAGCTAAAAGAGAGACTTGAAGCAGCAACAGAAAGAGAGAGGGAAAAAAAGCCGGGCTACAGAGAAAGAAAAAAAAAAAAAAAAAAAAAAGAAAAAAGAGAAAAGGTGAACAGTGAATTAACAGGAAATTGCTACGATACCTTATCGTTTTGTTTTAGTTTTTTTTAGAATTAGAATTTTCTCAACGAATGCATGCATTTCTATTGGCTGGGCATGGAATATGCTTGTCACGGCGGCTATTTAAAATTGCTATATGGATTGGATGGTATCTTTACACAATTTTATTGATTAAAAGAAGAAAGGGTAAGAAATTCCGTGTACACTTTACTATTTTTCACTTGGTGCCTCGTAGCATTCACAATACCGTATGATAAAATATCAATCATATTGGTCTTAGGCAATGCAATACAGTTAGTACTAAAAAAAATAATTAATAGTATTTACAATAATTATTTTATATAAATGTTTTTATTAGTAATATTTACGGTAATTATTTTATAGATCTATTTTGAGAGAAGAGATAAACACATAAAAAATAAAGAATTATATTCGAATTCATCATCGGATCATTTAAGTTTAAGGCTATGCCTAAAGAAAATCCGCAAAAGCAAGCTTAAAAAAAACATAAAAAAGAATAAAATTCATCTCATATTTGAACTATTAAGTATTAGTAAACGTCGAACAAACCAATTTTTTTATCATATGATTAGTTAGATAGAATTGATTGGTTGTAATATTTAGTAGTATACATTTAGTATGATATGGCTTGTTTCGTATCATATAGTTTAAAATGAACAAATATTAAATGATACTCAAAAAAAAAAAAAAAAGAAGAAGCATATATAATTTTTTTATGCTTTTTTTTTTTTTTTTGCATAGGAAACTAGACTAATTAAACTTAATTTAAGGCATAATGATTGTCATCAACATAAATCTCTTCATAGAAAAAAGAAAAGTAAAGAAAAACTAGGACCAAAAGAGATTAATTCTACTAGACGGGAGCAACCTGAATCGACAGAAGGGACATGCCCACTTCTGGCATGTCCCCTTCCTTTTCAACCACTCCATAATACAAGTCTTATGGAATTTATGAGAGCAAGGCAATTGAACAATTATAGTTCCAGTTGCCATGTCTTCTTTGCAAATTGAGCATAAGGATCCATCATGGTGGTCATCATCAACTATCGCCTTCTTCCTTAATATGACCATCATTGCTTCTTTAAATGCCTCTATACTCTTCCTCAGATTTTCTGTACTCTCCCTTAGAGTTTCTGCACTCTCCCTTAGAATTTCTGTATTCTCCTGTAGTGTTTCTACCATCAATGGCATTCTATTCAAACTCATATTATTCAAACTCAAAATCTCCTCCATGAACGATCTTATGGAAGATAAGCTGCTCAAAATCTCATCTCTACAGAGCATTATTGATTCATCTCCTTCCATATTTTGAATTTGAACCTCTCTTAAAATTACAAGAAAAAGTAATCTATGATTTCTTAATCAAATAATTAAAAATAAAAACCTTATGTGTGTGTGTATATATATATAGCCAAGCATTTTATTTCTGGTTGACCTCTTCCCGTAAAAATTTTGAGTTAGAAGAGGATTCTATTGGCTTTATAAATCTTAGTTAGAAGAGAATTCTATTTTCTTTAAGACATAGAACTCTTTTCTTTTCAGAAATCCGAAGTCTGTATGTATGTATCAAGAATACTCAAAGCCATATATATATATTTTAAAGAGTAAATTACAAAGTAATCTTTTTATTTTTGAAAAATGAATTAATCTATTCCCATGTGATGTTTACTTTTTCATTTTTATTGTAAGCATGTGCTTGACAAATCATCGAAAAGGAAATGGCCAAAGCGCAGGGGACACCACGAAAATACATAAATTAATCATTAAGGAGAAGTAATTTAACAATTTGGATCCAACTTACCTGGCGTCTAGGAGTTGGGGGAAAATCTCTCGACTCACAGTAATTTTGTACTTAATTATATTTTTAAGGAAAAGGTTTGATTATGTCATGTGAGAATTTCTCGTTAGAAGGACTTTCTGTGCCTGTAGTTTTTCTGGTTCTGAATGCGATTGGATTATTAATTTATTATCATAAACTTTATTACAGGGATACTAAAAGCACCCTTTTGAGTTCCCCATTTTCTGAACGAATGTATGCATTTCTATTGGCTGGGCATGGAATATGCTTGTCACGGCTGCTATTTAAAATTGCTCTATGGATTGGATGGTGTCTTTACGCAATTTCGTTGATTAAAAGAAGAAAGGGTGCGAAATTCCTGGTACCTCATAACATTCACAATACCATACGATAAAATATCAATCATACCGGTGTTATACGATCTGTTAAATTTATTTTATTTATCTAGCAGACCATCATGTGTTAAAATCTTTAAGATTTGGTTTATGAATTTAGAATCAGGTATGATTTATAAAAAAATAATTTTTAACTTGACTAACAATTCAAAAAAATTTCATAAATAATTTATATAAAAATAAATTAAGTTAAAAGTATGTCTAGTAAAATATGTCTCAAATATATTCTTTTGAAAAAAAAAAAGTTATGAACCATAAGTTAAAAATTGAACCTTTTTATTTAAATCAAAAGTTATTTATTTATTTATTTGATAATAAGAGATAGTAAAACTAAATTTTTTATCTCAATAATTTTAAAGACGAGATCCCATATTGATCTAACGCATTTAAGTCAAATGTTATTTATAATAAAATATATTCATGAATTTTCTGTAAGTAAAAAAAAAAAAAATTAAAATCAGCATATAAAAATTATACCACACGAAACCTCAATCCCCATTTGATAACAAAAAAATAAATAAATAAAAGAAAAAAAAGAAGAAAAGAAATATAAACTCAAATCTCAGGTTAGGTTTTGAAGATAATCTCTGTTTAAAAAAGTTTACTTCCCAACCTTTATAAAACGTAAAGGACTGTAAAATTTGATTCTAAGTAGGAAATTAAACTGGTATGGGGATATTGTTTTCCTCAAAATATAAAATAAATTTCACCTCTCTTAACTCATACATCTATAGTTAGTTTTTTTTTTTTTTTTTTTTTTTTTTGAGAAGATCTAGTTGGAAGATGAAGAAAGGTCAACTTGGCCACACAACAGCGTTGGTTTCTGCCACTTCTTTTGATTTTGTGCAGGTCTTTTTCAAACTTATCTCCACAATTCAGCTCCAACAAATTATCGAAATTTTAAAATGTGGTGACAAAATATATGTTAAAAAGCCTTTTTCTTATTGTGTCATATTCTTTGTTAAAATATTAGTTTTTTTTCTCACCATATAAAAGCGAGGCACAAATACTTGCTAGTTTATATTTACATCTCATTTTCAACAACCCCAACTTTAATTAGAAAATTAATGAAATAATATTAATATTCTTAAAAGTTCTATCATTTATTTAAAAAAATTAATCAACAAGGAACTTTATATCTTTTTTTTTAATTTCTAATAAAATAATCTAAACTAAAACATGTATAAAGGAAAAGTTTTTTTTAAAAAAAAGTCAGAACACGTAAGGATCCTCGTTGCAACTTGCATCACATTCCCAAAATTTTCCCCAAACCCAACAATTTAACAAACAGCCAAATGTTCCTCATGCATGCTGCAGTATCGCCACCTGCAAGCTCCCATTTATTTGCAAAAATTAAATTCCACACGCCTTCTTTCTTTGTTTTTTTCCTTATTGGAAATTGACCTCCATTTCAGCAGAGAGCCCATCTGGTAGTTTATATACCGTCCGATGGTTGATAAGTGAATCAAAACCATCTGATGGCACACGAATCACCAGAATTGTATTGTCCACACAAGCTCCCAAAAGAAAAGATAAAAGCGTATAGTCCGTTTTGTGGCGATGGGCTCATGGGATGGAATCGTGTCAGCTGCGACTCACATTCCCCACTAATAAATAGTTTTCTTCTCTGCCTGCTTTTTTCTTTTTTCTTTTTCCCTGTTTCAAGGTAGCTTTCCGTTGCGCCATTAATGCAGTAAATTAGAGAACAAATTAATTAGTTTTTATTTAAAAGAATAATTATTTAGTTTCAATATTTTTATATTTTCTTATAACTTAATATTTTTATTTTTTAATTTTAATTTTATTTTAAAAATAAATCAATAAATAAAAATTAAAAAATTATTAGAAAAATAAAATAATATTAAATTGAATTTGATAATACTGGTCAAGTGATTAATCAAATAAAAAATAATTAATTCGTTTTCTTCCAATAGGACTAATTTGTAATTTTCTAGCCGTTAATGCCATCATCAACCAAATAAAAAAAGGGAAGGTAAATAAAAAGAAAAAAGACACTGGAAAAAATTTTGACCCAAAAATAGAAACCATTAAAATAAATAAATAAATAAATGTGAATACTGACGCTGAGAAAATTCACAATTAGCAAATGAAAGTCAACCAGCACAATTACCAACGGTGAAAACTGAGGCCAAAGCCGAAAACAAAAAAGAAAGGAGCAGGCAATGATGCAGCGACCTCAAAATAACTCGGAGTTGTCTCTCTTCTCACTTATCGAGGATTCTCCTAAAACATCGGCTCTCTCACTCCCTCTCTTTCTTCACTACCATCGCTAACTTTTATTTTCTTTTTCCAGTAATAATAAGAGTACTAAATAAGAATCTCTTATTGCCTACCTCCGTCTTCTGTTTTTTTATAAGCAGGTAACCACACTTCTCTCAATTCTCATCATTATTGCTCTCTTTTAGGATCAGAATTTTCAGGAGAGGAGATTTTATCCTAACTGCTGCGGTTTTTTTCTTATATTTATTTTATATAATCTTCTGGTTTTTTTAATTAAGCTTATGATTAATGAATGATTCTCTTGATGGAAAATTAAAAAGTTTATATGATGCTCTGATGCTTCCTTTTTTACTTGTCACCGTTGAAAGTGACCAACATTTAATTAGCTCAGCAATGATTTTCTTTTTCGATTATTCGTTTTAAATTTTGATTCTGTGTGAAGTTACACTAGTGAAAAATTCTGATTGCTTGTTTTTTAAATTTAAATTTGGGAATCTTTTTATTTTATTGTAATGACAGGACTCTGTATATTTTTTAGAGTTTGTGCTTATTACTGAAAGTTCTGTGGAGGAGTTTTGAAGCTGAAAATGAGAAGAAGCGTTCGATCATTTCGCCAATTTCGATCAGTTTTTCAACGACAAGAATGCAATTACTCCATTAGTTTGGTCAAATGTCAAAAGGATTTGATAAATACTAGTTTTGGTTCCGTTTATAGAGTAACTGATAATGTGGATATTGATAGATTTATTTGCCGCAAATTCATTGTTTCAAGAGCTTTGCCAACGGATGCTGCTATGGTTTCCAATGGAGGTGCCTTTCTGTTTTGGGTCCATTTGTTTTGATTTTGAGAGTTAATGTGTCTGGAAATGAATTTCTCATTGGTTTCGGTGTTTTGATTTTGTTGGATTTGCAGATGTGAGTGGAGGAGGGCCACTTGTGGAGTACGAAAGAAGAATTGCTGCTGGTGAGCTTGTGGATGGTGACAGCTGCCAGGTATGAGGTTCACTTGAGTGCTGGATATGTAAAGTTTTAAGATTAGTTTCATGTATAGTTAATCTGGATGATCGTTATGTTTATTTTGGTTTTAAGGGAGTCGAGAGGAACAGGATTGGCTGTGACTGTCGAAACATGAGCCATCTTTTAGTGCTCTTCCTTTCTTCTTTGTCAATCCTTTGTGAAAATCAACAGCTTGGTAATGGAGTTTTAATTTAGACATTTTATACAGCCACACCTTCTGGTAGCTTAAATAGAAAATTGCATGTGGTTTGATTGTGAATATTTGGAAACTTGTGCCTTAAGGGAAGTTGTGGATGGTGAATGGTTTACTCAAGTTTTCAAGGGGAATTACTGGGCCTTGTTGAAGGGTTTGCTGAAATTGATTTTTCCAGGTGGGAACATTAAGAGAGCTTCAGAGGCTTTATGATGAGCTTGTTGAGTCGGCTGATGCCTGTAAATTGGATCGCTATACTGCTTCAGACAAATCTGGAAGGTCAATATTCCATTTTGTTTCTTATGTGTTTTATTTCCATTTCCAATTTATGTGCTCTTATGATGAAAAGAAGTGCTGATCCAGAACTTCATCTGATAAATTTTGCCTTACGTTTTGGAACTGTAGTTTTTCCTTTTTTTTTTCTTTTGGTTTGATTTCAAATTTAATCTTTGCACCATTTTCTTTATTTTCAGGAGTAGGTGGTTGTGGTCGCGTTTCATGCCACTTTCTTCGTATTCACCGGTCAAAGGACTATACCTTTATGGAGGAGTGGGCACGGGAAAGACTATGCTAATGGACTTGTTCTTTGATCAATTGTATGCAAGCTTAACAGATCTATTTTATTACAGTTTGTTTCCTTGTTACATTACTGTGGTGTTCCAGATTATTGATAAAAAAAGACTTGAATTAGAATGACAAATGCAAGGACTAGAATGAATCTTCTTCAGCTTTGCCTCCTAACCATTTATTTTTGGTTTTATCCCCTACTGATGGTATCTATTTCCTCAGGCCAGCCAATTGGAGGAAAAAGAGGATCCATTTTCATGACTTCATGTTGAATGTCCATAGTCGCTTGCAAGTAAGAACATAGTTCATAATGTATTTGCCCAAATTTTATAATAAAAAAATACATGTTTTCCCTTGAAGCAGGCTTTGCTTCTGGTATAATTGAGTGTTTGCAGGCAATTAATTTTAACTGGATTTTTATCACAAAAAAAAGGGATTCACGGTATGCATAGACTAGCCAGTCAAATATTCTCATACGTAGAATCGTATTGTTAATGAGGAAATGAAGTTGGCTCTTGTGGTGACATTGCCTGCACTTGCATGCATATCTGTGCATACCCACATCATGTGCACTTGCACAAATCATGCTGTGAATTTTATTTTATGCTTTTTAGACGAATCCAACTCGTTGATGTTGCTTTTGCTTGGGTCTTGGTTATTTGTAGATACTGAGCTTCTGTTAAACATTGAATCCTTGCAGAGACACAAGGGTGTTGCAGATCCACTTGAAGTTGTGGCTGGAGAGATATCTGATGATGCTATTTTATTATGTCTAGATGAATTTATGGTATACTAGTTACAGCTTTATTGCATTTTCTTATGCTTATTAACTAGATATGATTGATTTATATTATTATGGCTATATGCTTTCTTTGGGTGGTCCATAATAGGTAACTGATGTTGCTGATGCATTGATCCTTAACCGTCTTTTTGGACATTTATTCAGCAATGGTGTTGTAAGTCTATTTTTTTGTAATCTATTTTTACAATGCACTTCCACATCTATGATTTAAGTTGAAAATTAACAGAAAACTTGTATTTTTGTGCATGGTGGAGGCAAGTGTAGATTCTTGTAGCGACTTCAAATCGTGCTCCAGATAACCTCTATGAGCGTGGATTACAGAGGGATCTTTTTCTACCCTTCATTGCGACTTTGAAGGTATATTGTATGGATAATGTCTTGCTATTGCTGTAGCTCATGCTCTAGACTTACTGAGAGCTAGTATCATTTTCTGATATTGGAATGGTGTACAAAGATTTTATTCTGATGCCTTATATTGTTGTAGGAAAGATGTGTGGTTCGTGAAATTGGTTCAGAAGTGGATTATCGGAAGATGACTTCGGTATGATTCCAACTATCTCTCGTCCAGATCAGAAAAAACATTGCTTGGTATTTCCAGCTGTTAGTTTTCTCTTGTATTTATAATTTCTTTGATGTCAATGATTATGGTTGGACTGCAGGCTGAACAAGGTTTCTACTTCATTGGTCAAGAGTCATCTAACCTCCTTATGCAAAAGTTTCAACAATTGATTGGGGAACAAACAGCTAGCCCACAAGAGGTGGAAGTCGTAATGGGAAGAACATTGCAGGTAGGTGCTAACTTATATTTTGCTAGAACATATAAAGCACTATTCTTTGCTTGGTCTTTGACAGTTGTTAAAATCTAAATCTTTCAGGTCCCACTGGGTGCCAATGGATGTGCATATTTTCCTTTTGAGGAACTTTGTGACAAACCGCTTGGCGCTGCAGACTATTTTGGATTATTCAGTGAGTCATGCCCAGCTTAATTGATTTGACATGCATATTATTCTTGAAAAAGGGACTCATAGTTGGGACATGGATATGTCAAATGCAGTTAAGTTTGGCATTTCAGATTGGAAAAATAAACTAGACATGGTTTGGACCTTAGAACTCAAAGTTTACTGAAAAATGGAGAACCAAGAACTCATATGAATACTTATCTTTTTTTTTTTCCCTACTTTTAAAATTTTCTTTTTCTTTGAGCATATATAATTATCAAAAGACATATCCTTGGGAGAGACGCCTAGCCTGCTCCAAGACATATCCTCGGTGGGAGATGCCTCGCCTGCTTCTTTCATCTTTTGGATGCCAAATATCTAACAACCCACTGCTACATATCTCAAACACTTCCATGTGATTTTTTTCTTAACCTTTGATGAATCCTTGAGTCAATGCATTCTCTTTCCTCTCTCTTTACAGAAAAGTTTCATACCCTGGCATTAGAAGGTGTCCCGATCTTTGGACTCCATAACAGAACAGCAGCATATCGATTTGTCACCTTAGTTGATGTACGTACAATTTTTTTTTTTTTTAACTATCTTGCATTTGATCCTGCAAAGTTTTGGCTGTGTAGAATTGCACTACGGTTTCATATATGTGGTCCTCTTGCTTAAGCCACAATTTGCTTGCTTTCATGGAATTTCCCTCTTGACTTCTGAAATTAACATTAACAAAAATATCTATAACAAAACTAAGAAACACTGTATGCAATACTATTCACCGCCTCACAAAATACTATTATTGACTATAGATTGAGTAGTGGCATTTTTGTGAATTTCAGAATTTTTGGGGGGCATTTTGTACGCTGCCTTACAATGATATTTTCGTTAATTTCGGCACTTTTTGTGCATTGTATATGCTGCCTCACAAAATACTATTCACTACTGTGCATGCAGTATTCATTATCCCCACAAAAGACTCTTTTGTATGCAATGTTGTGCAAAAAGATTGCATTTTGATTCCTAATTTTTGAATTTTGGAGTGAAAGAACATGATTATTTTTTCTTTCTAAAAGTAAATTGATATAATTTAGATAATTGATTCTTAGAATTTTTTAATTATAGTAGTATTATGTGTATAATTTGTCTCAAATACACTTTTTTGATTAAAAGTGTGTTTAAGATAATTTGGTTGGATTTTTTAGCAAAAAATAACTTTCAAAATGGTTAATTAATAATTGAATCAAATGTAAGGGGAAAAAAAGGTGGTTGCTATTCATTTGAAGCCTATGCAGAGAGAATGACCATGTATTGTTTACAAATAAAAAATTATTTAATAAAAAAAATGAATTCACGTGTTTTATTTAGTTTTTCTTTGTATAATTAAAATTTATCAAAATTATTTTTTTTAATAATTTTTATTTTAATCTATAAATTTTAGATTTATTTAATATATTCCTCACAAGTGAATTTTTTTTTTAATGTTTTTTGTTTTACATTGCAAACTTGAAACCCATTCAGTGTATTTATAATGTATAAAAAAAAGATTAAATTATTGGTTTTTATAAAAATCAATTATGCAACTATGAGAATGCTAAGCATTTACTATTTATTTATTTTTAGATATTTAAAATTTTTTTTTCAAAATAAACATATAAAATTATGTTTTTGCAAGTCTAATGATTCAAATATAATTTTTTATTTTAATATAATTGATTTTTTTATGAATAAATATATAAAACTTAAATGTACATACTTTTAAAAACTAATATTCTCATTAACACTGAATAAAAATAAAAATAAAACAAATTTTTTATTCATTTATTTTTATTTCAGTTTTTAAATTAATTGTTATTTTTTTCGACATAATTTTATGAAATACTAAGGTGTTTTTTTTTTATTTTATTGAATTCTCTTTTTGTTTAAGAATCAATGGATAAAGAAGAATTAATCATTTTTTAAGTAGAAAAATTATGAAAAATATAAAAAAGAAATATTTAAATATAAAAATTTGATTAAAGTATTATAAAATTGATTTTTTTTTTTACTTTTAATTTCATTTATTTTTATGGACCCGCAATATAATATGGATCATTAAATTGAAATAATTTTTTAAATAATTTTATGTGTTTTATCCAATGTGCAGCGTAGTGTGGGCAAAAAAAATAATTTAGGACTAAGAATGGCTTCTTCTAGCTAAAGTGAAAAACTTGCCCCTCCTTTTTTTTTTCTCTTTTACTACCCAAGTTATAGTAAGTTGAGTTTTTCTTGTCCTTTATAAGATGCATGTCCCCATTTTTCATAGTTAATTTATGTTTTTAAATCGAACATTACTTAGTTTTTTGTTTCAGACTCACGGCATTGATCTATTTGTTGCATTCTTCCTGTGTTGCTATTTGGCCTGCTCTGTGAGTTTTTACTTTCTTTTGAATGTGGGGATTGAAATTGTTTTTGCTGGCATCTGGGTTAAAAAGATCATAATAAAAGTAAATGCAATCTATTTATTACAGTATGCTTGGATGCCACTAGGGTAAGAAATTTGCAGCGTACTTTCCCTTTCAAATTATTTTATAGGATGATGTTGCAGATAACATTCCCAAACACTAAATCATAGCGTAATCATTTTTCTGCAAAGTGGATCTCTTGCATTAAAATATTGTATAAAATTGGTCTCTTTTCATGTCTCAGAATCATTGGTGCAGGGATGTCTATTCTTTTCTTTTACAAGGGTGTCAAATAAAATGTTCTTCTTTTTCCTTTTTTTTTTTAAAAAAAAAGTTGCTGCTGTTATGGTCACAGGTGATGTATGAAAACAGAGCCAGATTGTTATGTACAGCTGAGGGGAGTCCTGTAGATCTTTTTGAAAGGATAGTGACAATTTCTGAGGCCCAACAAATGGCACCTAGAACCTCTACAAGATCAAGGCGAACGGATGATTCTGACCTCTGTGTGGACAACGAGCTTGGATTTGCAAAAGACCGCACCATTAGCAGGTAATTATGGATTTCTTTATAGAGATTTCTGTGCTTTATATCAGAGTATGTATGATTCTAATCTCATTGAGTATGTACTTCCATCTGCGTGGCCAGTGTAAATTTTATGAGAAAGTAGATCCCATTAATTAAATAGTTGAGATTTTAGATCACATTCTTCTCCTCATTTTGATTTGGACTTTAGAGGTGAGGGGACAATGCATATACATAGGTGTGATCCAATAGGACAATGAGCAATTAGTATGATTCTTTTATAGATTTCCTTGCTTGGTATTTTTTTATCTTCATGTGTTTTTTATGAAGCTCATTACCTTGAGCTATGCGATGAAAATGGCAGTGCATTGCATTTCTTCAATTTTCATTTGAAATATTATCCAAGTAAAAACCAGATTCCAATAGCATGATAGTTGACTAACTGAGTCTGATATGGTAATTGTGGAAGAGAGGCAGTGAAAACATGCTCCACAACTTGTGTATATAACACCGTTGACAAGCATCGTGGAAATTTAAGAACATGCGGTACCACCTCCAGATTGTCACTTTTCATGCTCTTAAAACTCAAAAAATGTTTCTTCTCCTGGAATGGACAGTTGGCTCTAGCTCTAACGAGCTGGGTGGAGTTGGGACAGAACTAAATCCATTCCTTACAAGTTGGCAAAAGAAAAGGAAGAAAGAAATCCAAATAAGTTACGAATTGAAGGTTTAGAGATAGAATGTCCTATATTTCCACTACTTAGAAACAAATTCCATTCCATGTCAGGTTCAATTAGAATTGTTGTAGTGTTGTACTACTTTAAATGCCATATCCAGTCAATGACTTTGGTTTTCTTTTCTTCCTTTTTCCTTGTTGAATGACGTTTCTTTTCCCTTTTTTCTGTCTTGTTCTCACTTCTTTCATGTTGAAGTTTTTTACTACCTAATCCTTCCATAACAACTCTGTAGTTTTTATTTACTTTTCCGATAAGAGCAGTTAATTTGGATGTGCTTATGAAATTCTATTATAACCCTAACTAATCAAACTGCCAAACAATGCAGATTAACAGAGATGAACAGCAGAGAATACCTAGAGCAGCATGCTGCCACGTTAGCAGAGCAGCAGCTCTCACAAGAAGCTAGCAACGCCAATGTCGTCCAAGCGTGAGTCGGAGGAGGATCCATCTTCATCCAAACTTCGTAAACTATTGTTGGTAAAAGTAAACCCATATAGGGTTATATGCTCAAGGATCAGCTGACAACTCACGCATTGGTGGTTTTGGTGCCAAATTACACACAGGGATTTACTAAATCTGATATCTGTTTATCGAATAAATGTAATTCATCATCTGTAAAGTATTTAAAATATGTTGATCGTAATAAAACCCTGTTTCTATAGAGTTACGAAGGTCTCATTTTGTCAGCTCATTGTCACAGACCCGAAGTTTTACCCAAATGTAACAATCAATTACAGTAAGACCTTGTTATTGGAATTGCTGACTGGTGTAAGGTCCTTTTCCTGCCCTCTTATTCACTTCCTGTGCGAAGATTTCTATCTTGTTACAAGATTTCTCCAACCCGACGGAAAAGTACATGAACTTACAAAAGCAGGAATGGGATGCCCCTTTACTTCAAAAAAATAAAAAATAAAAATAATATATATATATATATATATCTAAAGAACCATAATTATCCATTAAATTGTGCTATTTTTAAATAAAAACCGGCAAAGTAGCAAAATAAATAAATTTATTATTAGCAAAACTAATTAAAAATCCACAAGCTTAGCAAATTGCAGGTAAATAATGCCAGCCCTCCATACTAATAAATAACAGTTCAAAAATATATTTCATAAAAATACTCCGGTTTTTTTTTTTTTTTTCCCGTTCTCTCTCTGCAGCAGCTAGCGCCATTCTGTCATCGATAATTCCCTCAGGTAATGATCTGTTTTCTTCATTAATTATTATTATTTTGTCTGTCCATGCATGCAATATCTTCTATCAATGCAAGATATCTGCATGCAATATAGGAAAATGATTTAGAAACAAATTTTTTATACTAAATCTCTATACATACATATGCAGGGTTTCGTGTATGTAATTGTAATCCCACCCAATCTGCTCCTTTTTTTTTTTTTTCTTTTTCCTTTTTTTGTGGAGAGATTGCATATACACACGGCTTAATCTCATAGACAACTTATTTTGGATTTTCATAATCTATATTTTCTTTTCGTTGTGGAAGGTTACTAATTAAATAATTACTTGTTTTTATTGAATTAGGAGGTTTGTTTAAGGTTTTGCAAGATTGCTTGTTTAATTAATTTTTGTTGTAGTTCAACTGGCATCCATAGAAGTTGTAATTAACTTGTGACGAATAAAGGTAGCTTTTAAAGCATTTTGGATCGAGAAAAGCAAAAGAATTAGTATGGTTGGGGTTGAGCACAACCAATGAATTGGTATGCTTGACTTGGAGTTAATCACAGATATCATGGAAAATAAATGTGAAATTGTTTGGCCTTGAAGGTCATAAAATACTAACTATAACTTCTAATTACTTATGCCTTTGTTTTGAGTTTGTGGAGCAATAATTATATGTATATATCCTGCTTTTCAGTTTGATCGATGTAGCGTCTTTGGAATTAAAGAAACTCCTTTTGTGTCTCTTCATGAATTATAGAATGGCAGCAGGCAGAAGCACGCATCAGTCCATAAGAAAAGCTATTGGAGCTTTGAAGGATTCCACAACAGTTGGATTGGCGAAAGTAAATAGTGAAAACAAGGTGATGTTTATGAATAGATGAAATTGTAATGAAGCTCATGTTTATTGCTCATTCACTGTCTTGGATGTTCAACTGTACTAAAAAAGTGATGGTCATATGCTCTAGGGGATTGATGTTGCTATCGTGAAGTCTACGAACCATGATGAAGTATTGGCCAAAGAAGAACATATAAAGAGTGAGTGCAGCTATCTTCTTAATTTCCTTCTTAGAAATTCACATTAGCATGGAAGTTTGGTTAAAATTAATGAACTGATGAATTATTTTGTACAAATTCATTAAACAACATAAATGCATGTGGGAATTTGCTTGAATCAGTCGCTTTTAAACTTTTGATTGCTTGATGTTCAAAAATATGAATTACTTCTTATTGGAGTTTTACTCAAATATAGCATATTCATTCTGATCTTATAGCAATTTGTGATAAATCGGTTACATTTTCGGAATTTCTGTTATTGTCTTTGTTACAATACTGTATCTGAGTATACCTTTCCTTGTATGTTGTCAGCTATATTCGCTGCACTTTCGGCCTCAAGTTCTCGATGCTGATGTTGCTTATTGCATACATGGCCTCACCAAACGTCTTGCTAAAACACATAATTGGACAGTATGCTCTTGATCATCTTGCTGACATCAGTTTCTTACGATTCTCTGCAGTGCTTTAAGAAATATGCGAATTGGTTGGTTAAAATGACCAATGGAATGTGCAGTATATAATTCCTATAGAAGTGCAAGTGCTCCATTGAACATTCTTTTCTCAGTTGCTTGTAAAATGTTTCTGTTCTTTCTGCCAGAAACTAGGCTTCACGCCACTCTCAAAAGAATGTGAATGTGATTTTCTGCCAAGACTTAAGCAATTGGGATTAACATGAAAAGTTAATTTACAAATAAATTCTGAACATGCCTTGAAATTCTGATTTGGATTTTGTCTAATCCTAGCCCACGGTATAGATTAACCTGAAAGTCATGTAAAGTGGGTGGAAGCTATGATTCAGTATGCCATATATGGTCTATGGTTTATTGAAAATGTCCAGAAATGTTGAGGTTTTGCCTTTTGTTTTCATTTTACCTGTTTTAATTGGTAACAGAACATTTAAGTTGCCGAAAAGGTGTGCAAGCTAAGTTTGTCGGATGATCCTCTCATGCTCTTTTCTTAATGATGTGATTTTTCCTTTTTCCTCATATTCGAATTCTCTTAAAACCCTCCATAAAAACTTCTAACAAGATGAATGTGTTTCTCCCTCTGACGTGCACCCAAAAATGGTTTAAAAAAAGTTGATATTATAGTTCTAGTTTCAGATGAGTCAAGAGTGGGACTAAAGAATTCCTCTAAAGCTTTGAACTGAACTGCCATGTATCTGGAGAAGGATACTTTTATGGTTCGAATTTCAAATGTCACGGTATCAACATAAGTCAAATTTTCCTATTTCAAGTTCATTCTTGTTCTTTCCTGAGAAAAGTTTTTATTTATGTTAAGGGACCTTTTTAGTCAATTTCAGTTTCTAATTTATACTCAGGTTGCATTGAAAACATTGATTGTTATACACCGTGCTTTGAGGGAAGTCGATCCGACATTACGTGAAAAGCTGGCTAATTATAGCCAGGGCAGAGCTCTAATGCTAAACCTGTCTCATTTCAGGGATGATTCAAGCCCAAATGGTATTTTAATTTCTTTAGCTTGTCTTATTTCCTTAAGGCTTGCATTATTAGGAACTGACCTGGCAAGGCTTTTTGGTTTAAAGCATGGGATTATTCTGCTTGGGTTCGCGCATATTCTTTATATCTCGAAGAGCATCTTGAATGTTTCCGCATATTGAAATATGATGTTGAGAAAGATCAATCGGTATGTAGAATCAACACGGACTCTCTTTTTCTTTGTCAATTTTGGTGTGTCTGAACTTTTTCGTTTTGCACGTGTACATTTAAACTCAGTACTTTGTAGTTTATATCAGCAACCTGATGAGAAATGGGAACAAGATAAAGCTAATCGAAAATTTTATTCAAATATATAGTTTGATAACCCTGATTAGTTTTGCCAAAGCCTAATGTATAATTCCAATTTCAAGTGCAGAAAAATAGAACAGATTTTTTAAGTGCTGAAGATATAATTACTTCAGTGATTTGGAAGTTGTACGAGAGGGAATCTTCTTTTTTTTTTTTTTTTTTTCAGTATGATGGATGAAATCTCAGATTCATAAAAGCATGTGAGAATCTAGGGTGTTTTGAATATCTCTACAATTTCTGTGTCATTTTTATGCTTAACTTGTTTGGATTATAACTTGTGATTTGTGTCTATTAGCAATGTAAAACCTAGTGCTAGATCTTTTTACATTTGGAGGTTATTCATATACAAATGATCACACATATATTACATACAGTAACTCACCTGATCCTCGACTTAAAAGCTTATAGGCCACTGGCTATTGCATAAGGCTCATTGTTTGGTTAAAAGTCCTGTTTCAGCAACTGATAGATCTTACTTTCTATCAATAAAATTTACTAAATGGTAGGATTGTCTCCAGACTAATCTTTCCAGGACCCTGCCGTGGTGGGAGATAATGGCCCTAACAAAAATCTCCCACCTGAAGTTTCCTTTGTCATTCTGCTCTAGTTTAGTTTATAGTCTCAATCAAAGTGTATTATACATTGTCTCGCCATATGATCCTATCTTATTCTATTTTTTAAACAGTAGTCTAATTAATCTTACAGAATCCATGAGTGCTCTGGAGCACGAAATGCATGTAAAGCTGCTAATCTCCAATATTTTATAGGCCTATATTATCTTACTTTCTATAGAACTTGTTCATAATTAATACTTTTTTTTAGTGGTATTCTGAAGTGGCTGTGGAATTGTTTCCTGAATTCAAGTGATTTGATTTATGCTTTATGCCCCTTTGTTTCCTTCCCTTTATTTTTCCTTATAAAGTGAAAAATTTCCCCACGATTCTTGTTAATCGAAGATGTCAATGTGTGTTTTTCTTATGATGGATTCAGATAACTAAAGAGCTTGATACCCCAGAATTGCTTGAGCAGTTGCCTATCATGCAACTGTTGCTTTTTCGCCTGCTTGCTTGCAAGGTATACATCTTTGCATCGTGAGCTGGTTCCCCTCCTCCAAGTTCTTTCAAAATAAATTTGCTTACTGTGTATTTGAGGAAACATTCACTTTGTGTCATTTCTGCAGCCAGAAGGAGCAGCCACACACAATAGCTTGATTCATTATGCCCTTTCAATTGTAAAGTTCTATCTAAATCAATAATCAATTTGTTGTGACTGTGATTCTGCTTTCATTGACTTACCTCTCTTTTATGGCATTCCTGTTTAGGTTGCAAGTGAAAGTGTTAAGCTATACATTGTGATTACTGATGGAATTCTCAATTTGGTAGACAAGGTGACTCATGTATCCTTTTGCAATTATACCTTGTTTTTACCGTCAGTCGAAACAGTAATGGTGAAAGAAATGACTCTATTTTGACACAGTATTTTGAAATGAAACGCCACGATGCTATTAGGGCACTTGAAATTTACAAGAAGGCGCAGAGTCAGGTACATATGCTGTTATGCAGGGCCATCAGTTGTGTCTTGTCAATTATTTGGATTTCATGCAACATTTACTGGTGCAGAATTTTTTTTTTTTTTGCAGGGGGAGAAATTATCTGAATTTTTTGAGTTCTGCAGGGACCTAGAGTTTGGACGAGGGCAGAATTTCGTTAAAATTGAACAGGTTTGGATTCTTATGATATGGCCTGCTTCTTTTCCTGCACCTTAAATTGCTTTCTTTGTGACTGACCGACCTGATATGCACGAGTGCAGCCTCCACCATCAGTTATGACTGCCATGGAAGATTATGTGACAGAAGCTCCACATGTTATAGCACTTCAATGTACAGCAGTATGATTTTTAAATACGTTTATTCTATGAAAATGGTTTTCTTCTTCTGTTATCTAGGAAAAATTTTGAATAATACATCATGCAAAGACTTGGTATTTTATTCCCATTGTTTAAACTTGATTGCATTTGCATGCTTCTCATAGCAAACATATGTCATATGTCACCAGCAAACTGTATATATCAGTTGAAAACACTTTCAGATTTCAGCACAGAAAAAATAAAATTTTTAAGTACGCAACACTATTTGTTATGAATTTTATCAAAAAGAGAACCCTCTGATGTATTCCAACTATAAATACGAACACAAGGTTAGAGAACTGGTAGACATGCATACTGTGACCTCAGGAGAAGTACAAGTAAACAGCTCAGCATTCCTTTGATGTAGATATTCAAATTATAAAATGGACAGCTTTTATAATAATGTGTTGCAGTATATATATATATATATATTAAAAAACTTAGTCTCCCAAGTCCTATAAATACATTTTAAGACGAATTTTCTTCAGTAAATCAAGTTGGGGATCCATAGATTGAAGTTGATACGAAGTGATTGTAAATAACAATCACTTCCTTTTGATCATCATAATGCATAGCATTCGTTATTCCTGTAACTAATTCTTACGCTCCTCAAATGGTTTGTTAGTCAAACGATGACAAAGGCGCTGCTCCAAGAGAACTTCTTGCTCCAGAAGCTGTTTTATTAATCGAACATAAGCAAGATGACAATGTTCCAAAGCGAGATTGCAGCACCAGCTCCAGTAAATGATCTTTTGGTGAGGATTTACTTGAGTTACCACTCAGTTTGATCAGATATTTCGTTTCGCTTGAATCTTTTTAACTATTTCTTGGCAAATCTTGTTACTGTATCAGGGTTTGGATGAGTTAACTCCGAGGACATCTGGACTGGATGAAAAGAATTCCCTTGCACTCGCTATTGTTGCTTCTGGAGAAATATTTGTTTGTACTGGCTTTTAATGTTTTCTCTCTGAGTAGTTATACTGATGTGGCTACGCGCACCATTTTGTGCATCTTACATATATTAACTTTTTTCTTCTATGCAATGTCACAGACGATCCATTACACTGCGAAAATGGACTCAATTTGACATCACAAGCCACAAACTGGGAGTTAGCACTTGTTGCAGCTGCGAGCTCTAATGAAGCTGCAGTTGCAGACAGTAAATTGGTTAGTCATCCATGTCAACCAGATGCCTTATTATTAAACTAAGATGCTGCTGCATTGGCAATCTTCTTTTCCCATCATGATTTCGGTGACTTTTAACTGCGAATCGCAGATTCTGGCACTTAGTATTATGTCTTTTTTTAACCTTTTGTTCATTGCTAATTACACAATTATATGGCTTCAAATGCAGGCTGGTGGCTTGACCAATTAACACTCGATGAGAATATGATAATGCAATGGCTAGAAGACTGAATCATAGCGTGCATATGAAATAGGGCAAGTGGCCTCCAATCCTTTGGTTTCTGCATGTCACAATCAGGGTCCATTTTATGTATTCAGAAACCCTACACCAACAACTAACGTGCAAACGGCAGTCATGAGCCAAGAACAAGCATTGCTGGTATTGCAGCAGCGGCAACAGACAATTGTGGTTGGCCATGATTCAAGTTCAATTAATCCTTTTGGGATTCCCTTGGACGATCAAAAGTAGCAATCCCATCCAGCTCAAAGTTCAAACCCTAGTTTAGCTAAGAGATCACAGGATTAACACATTTCCCTCAATAAGTTTATAAATAATAGAGCAGCAGAAAGGACAGGAGAGGAGCTGACAGGTTTAAATGTGGAAGCAGCCCTCCCTTGTCGTTGTTGGGCCACTTTTGCAGTCCAAAGTAGGGAAACGCAGTTTACAACAATGAATAGTGTTTATTTTCTTTCGGGTCATTCAATGTCGTGTAGTAGAAGAAACAACCCTCTCTCATAAAATAAGTAAACGTATATGAAAATTCAGGCCTACGAATCAGAAACATAATGGTAGAATACCTAAATATCTCAAAGTTCGAAACGGCTATAGTTTTTTGAAAACTTTTTAACAATCATCAGATCCTATATGTAAATTTGTGCTCATGGCTACTTTTTAAATCAAATGAGGAGTTAATGACCACTCGTAGATAGTCTGCCTATTGAATACTTGAAGGAAGAGCGGAAGTGAAACAATTGCAGAGGGAAAGAACATTTAAGAAGCAATAACCAATGAAAAATTTATATCACCAAGTGCTTCAGATCATTGCACTTCGCGGTTTCAATATTAATGGAGTGGGATAGCAATTACTTCAGCCACAAAACCAAGCAATACATACATTATTTAAAATCTGAACTTTCACTGCCCAAATACGAAAACTGCATAACTTAATACTGTCAATAAGAGAACAAAAACAAATGTTCCCATGCACTTACTCCTTTATAAACTCTTAGTCCTACTTGTATTCATAGATTCTGCACACAAAATAAAGTATCGGATTGGTTTTTCCTACCATTATATCAGACAGCCTTCATTTGTCTCACATTCCTTCTTTCAGGAGCTGAAAATGGTGTACTCAAAGGGACCTGATCCAGCCAAAAATTAACGTTGGAATGAAAGGGAATAAGAACCAGTATTTGGATCTTGAACAGCTTTGAAATTGTCAATGCTCATGCCAAAGCGGCCCAGCAAAGAGTTTCCCATGTCTTTCAGCTTTCCTGCTCACAAAGAACAAATTCAAATTAGATAGCGGATCAGTTGACCCAAACATGTGCACTGTAAAGACAACAATCAAGTTCATAGCCAACAATAAAGGGTACATGGCCAAGACGACAAGAAGATTCACACAGAATAAAGTGTAGATGGCCAAGACAAATACAATGACATAACTCCACAACTATAAAGCACCTAAGTTCCTTAAACAAAATGATTAACTGCTCCATGATTTTGATAAGATCAAATCTTTTAAGATGTCATCACATAGATTAAATATTTTCTTATTCACCTTGCTTCAACAATTTCGATGTCTGTCAAACACAACATGATTTAAAAAATAAAAACTAATAATAAAATAAAATATGAAGTTCCAATGAACAGCCAGAAAAAAGCAAATGACAGACAAGGACAAGTGCTAAGAAATGTCTAAGCAATGAAGATTTAATTTAAATATGAACTATTTTCATTTCATATCGTCACACGGAGCAAGTGCAGCCTAAAAATGATTACTCCATAACTAAGAATCCAATGTGTATACACTCTCAAGTCTTTCTATCCATTTTTTACTCCTTGCTCCTTGCAACATCATAAATGAGCATTACCTCTGCATCTATCCGTCAAGATCAGAATTATTAAGGCAAAACACACGATAAGACTATTAGATTGATATAATCACCAAGAGAAAAACAGTGAGAGTAAAGTGTTGTTTAGAAACTGCTGGACCATTGAATAGACAGGATCTAGTTACTGCCTCACCACTAGTAGCCTCAATGTTTTAGAAGATTAGAGGGGAGTAAGAGCTAACAGGTGTTTAAGCCTCACTACTGTGCTTTTTTTTTTTTTTTTAACTTCCTCTTCTTTCTGTAAAAGGCATGGCTCTATGATTGTGACTTTGTGAGTATGTGTTGAGAGGGAGAGGACAAGGAAGAAGGCATAAATTTTTGCCTATTGAAACTGAAAGAATCATCTTCAAAATATTCAACACAAACTTGATGATTGCAATATAATTCCAATTACATACGTTTCTATCAAAAGAAAACAAATTGTAATCAAAATGAGAAAACAAAGGGCAAATAAGATGCACTGAAAAAGTTGCTCATTTGAGCTTACCAATCATCTCTTCCTTCATCTTTTCTCGCTTTTCTGCAGCAAGTGGCTCCAAGCGGCGAATGGTTTTCTTAGCTTGGTCATTTGAAGGATCCAATTCCAAGATTTTTTTCATATCTGCAAATACCAAAATATAATTAAAATTTTCCTTTCCTGACAAAGAGAAACTATTTTTAAATGTCAGGACAATTTACCAAGAATTAGAATCCACACTCACCAGCAATAGCCTCCTCAAAATGTTCTAGCTTTTCATGAGCCTCTCCTCTTCTAACAAGAGCTTTCATGTAAGAAGGATTCAATCCTAATGCTTTCGTGCATTCCTTGATTGTGTCCTCATATTTCCCCTAAAAAAAATATGTATACATATATTTATTCAATTTCAATCTTCTTTAGGTTTTAATAGTTGCAGTATCTAAAAATTCTCAATCACATCAAAATACCAATTTCAAGAAGCAAACGCCGCGATTGGAATGGCAAATGGAACGCAACTCAATGGATGACGGCACGTCTGGTGGGGAAACTTGTAAGGCAACATCATACTGTAATAATGCCTCCTCATATTGCCCATTTCCAAACAATCTATTGCCTTCCAATTTTGCTTCATTAGCTTCTTCTATCCTTCTCTGTTTCACAACAACAATTAATACCCTAAATAAATAAATAGAACTCCTTTCTATAAATAAATAGGGAAGAAACATCAATTTTGCCTCATAATTTCAGATAATTAAAGAGAGTGAAAACCTGAATCAATTCGCCGTCGTTTTGATGTATCTTGTTGTTGTTGTTGTTGTTGATCCTCACTGGTGCTTTTGCTGTTGATTTCTTTATTGGCATTTTCTTCTTCCTGTTCTTCTTCGTTGTCGCTGACTCCGCGTTCGCTGGCCGTTTCAAACCCATCGGAGTCGCTTCCGTTCACTTTTGCTGCTTTTGCTGTGGTGGTGTCGCTGCTGGTCGCATCCGTCGTCGTTTTTGATGGTGATGATGTTTGTTGAGGCCTAGCGGGGTTTTCGAGTACGGTCTCTTCGTTTTTTCTGGTTCGATCACCACCATTGTGTTGTTTCTGCGGAAGAGAGAAGTGGTGATGAATGATTGATTTATGAACTCTTCCTCCTAAGAAGAAAGCATCAAAAGGTTCTCGAAGCGTCTTTTTCTTTCTATCCAGATTTACTCGGCGATTCCCTTAAACGCACCGTTTCTTGTTGCAGCAGAGTTGAGCTTTTTCAAAAAAACTTTTTTTTTCTTTTTAGAGAAAAAAGTCATAGAAACTTCAAAACAAAATAAATAAATAAATTTAGTTCTGCAAACTACGATGCAACTTTCAATTCCCTTCAAGTATGTTTTAAAGCGATAACTTAAAAGAATTTTTTTTATAAAAATAATCGAGTTCAATTAATAAAATAATTCATTATTATGCTATATAATAACATTTATACTATTAAATAGTGTTGTATGTGCTAACAAATGCATATACTTTCATGGAGAAATTTAAAATAAAAATTTTAATAATACACTAAGATAAACTTAAAAAAAAAACAAGAAAAAAAATTAAAAGTGCATCTAATTAATATATATTATAAAAATTTATTGAGTTTAATAATTCAGAAAATAGTTCATTGTCTCATCAAACTAAAAGACATAGAAGAGCCATAGCCTAAATGAATATGTTTTTTCTTTCTTCTTGATAAGAAGTGAGAAAAAATATATAAAAAAAGGTGGACAGATCCAAGTGCAACGTTATAGGTGGTAGCTTGTGAAGTTGTGATATACTATAGATGGGGTTGCAATTTAATTTTTACCCTTTAAAATATAGTTTTTACTTATTTAGGATTAACAATGTAGTGGTTTTTTTTTTTTTAGCAAAAAGCCATCCGCGTTCATTTAGATTACTAGTAATTTTTACGTGAAGTGTAGTTTTCACCATTAAAACACAGTGAAAAATAAAAAAACTCTATTTTAAAGCTTCTTACAATACAAAGAGGGTGATATTATTGTTGACAACCTCATCCATAAAATTAAAAAAAAAAAAAAAAACACTCTCGTACCCTTAATTTTTTGATAAAAAGAAAATATTTTGTTTTTGTTGCAAAACTAATTTTCTCACTTTTTATAAAGAAGAAAGAAAAACAAATTCATATAGGCTATGGCTCTTCTATGTCGGCTTAATTTTTTGTATTCAAAATATAGCCTTAACAAGACATGCAATGAAAGCTGTGTTTCTTAACACTAATGGAACGAACAATGTCAATGGATGCGAGACGCTTTTGGTATAATATTGTTTTATATATATATATTTAATGAAGTAAATTATAAATTAGTCCCTCTAGTTTTAATAAACAAACTCATTAGGCCCCTTCATTTCAAAAGTTATTATTTAATTTTTAACGAGTACTGAATATGTTTAATTTAATATTATTTTTATTCCATAAAATCTCTTATTTTCTTATGAATCTTTTCATATTTTTTTCCTTTTGTATTTCTTGAAACAAAAATCAAAATAAATTAAAAATGAGAAAAAATAATTAAATTACAAGTAAATTTCAAAATAAAAAGATTAATGATTAATTTTTTAAAACAAAATGAACTAATTAATTCATTTTTGAAATCAAGAGGGATTAATTTATAATTTACTCATAGTTAATGATAAGGATATTTTCTAACCAATTTACACCTTAATTGAGATTAAATTTTTTTGAATAATTTTAAAAACATACTCTCAATATCAATCTAGTGTATTGAGAGAAATTTAATAAATTTTCTTAAATATTGATTTCAAAATTTGAATCTAAAAATCAAAGAAGAAATCAAACATTCTTAACCACTAGGGTAACATCTTGAGGTTAACATTGATTAAATTTGTAATTAGATGTTATTGAAAGTAACTTCAAGAGCCGGGATCTATTTGAAGTTATCACCCAAAAAGGGTAACGATAATGAAAATATATCCAGAAATGGCGGCTCCTGCTATAAATAGCGCCACCCGTTTGGTTTAAAATTTCTTGGATCCTCTCTTTCTTTCACATTTCTTTCAATAAACCCTAACCAGCTGAGCACAACAATCTATTAAACTTTCATTTTTCGTTCAAAAAAATCAATTACTAATAAAAAGAACCCTTACAGCAAATGCAGAATTGAAATTCACTCACCCATCAATGGCCTTCTTTCGAAGGCTTCTCCCTCTCCACTCTTCCCTTCAAGTATCTTCCTCTCCATCCGTCTGTTTTTGCTTATATCATTAGTTTTTTTAAAAAAAAATCTGAAAAATGAGTTGTTTTTGTTTTTTTTGGCTTGCAGAGGACGAATATTTCTTCTATTCCTGCAGTTCGAGAAGGTTCTTTTGCTTCTTCTCTATCTTGGGCTGTATATGATCTAATGACGAAAATGAATGAATTATTAATCGTGTTTTAATTAATTTGTATTTGTATTTTATAATGTTTGTTTATATGCAAATTGAGCTATCGAGAAACTGTGTTGCGCCGACTTTGAAATGCACAGCAATTAAACTATCTAGCAAAACGGCAAACGAAAAAAGATGCTGAAACTGCAACTTTACTGGAAAGAGGGGCTTATTTTAGAATTGAAAAATCCTGCCAAAGTTGAAACCAGTCCATGCCGGCAATTTATTTGGCTTTTATTCAATTTTAGGGCTGGGGGAAGCTTTAGGAGTTACAATGCAGTTTCGTCAACCGAACAAACAGCATTGAAATTGCTTGAGGTTGATAATTTAGCTCTTGATGATGAAGTAGCAAAAATTCGGTGCGAGTTTGAAGCAGCAAAGCAGAGTTTTCTTAGGATTCCCGAGGCAGTCAAGGGAATGCCAAAACTGAATCCTGAAGGTCCATTCAATAGTGTTTTAGCTGAGTTTTTGTTTCATTTAATGATGGCATATTGCATTCTCAGTATATTTATTATTCTTATTTTGAATTAGGCATATATGTGAATAAGAACCTGAGATTGGATAGCGTACAAGTTTATGGATTTGATTATGACTACACGTTGGCACATTACTCTTCTAACTTACAACGTTTGATATATGATCTTGCAAAGGAACATATGGTTAATGAGGTCAGATTGAACTTTCTCGTGTTGCTGTTTTATGAATTCTCTCTTATGGGGAATGGTGGGTCAAGTGTTGCATAACTGCTTTCTGTGGTTTTTTGCAGTTTAGATACCCTGAGTCATGCTTGAAATTCAAATATGATCCAACTTTTCCCATTAGAGGCCTATACTATGATAAGAAAAATGGGTGCCTCTTGAAGTTGGATTTCTTTGGGTCAATTGAGCCAGATGGATGCTACTTCGGGCGTTGCAAGGTACTCCAGGATATGTATATTTTCACTTTCCATTCTTACTCTATTAATACCTAAGGCCTGCAAGATAAAAAGAGCTCTAATGCTTGAATTACTGTTCAACTTGAAAAATTATGATTGGAAAATGGAGGGCATCTTATCCTCTCTGTTATATTTCGGGCCTTTCTATTGAAGTTCCTCATTTTATGAAAAACAGAGGGCTTAATGGAGTCGCTGCAGTTATTAAATAATATATAATTATAATATATAATTAAATGGATTGACAACAACCAAGACACTTGCCAAGCAGTTAACTTGCTCAACTGAAATTTTGATGTCCCAATAGAAATCCCTACCTCTACATGATGCATTCCAACCCAAATTCATTGTTGAGGTTGATGATTAACTGATTAAGCAAGCGCTTTATAAAAAAACAAAACAAAAAAAAAAACCAATGCAACTTTGAAGGGAAAGCACAAATGCCATGGGTAGCCAATGCAAGGAATTGAAAGAAATTTCAATAGAAGAGTTGGATTCAAGCAAAACAAGAAACTATTTTATTGGTGCTTAAAGGATAAATAAACATCTTGGAGAGTTCAGGAGGTGATATAAATGCTGAACAATCTCAGCCTAATCAATCTTGTGTTTTGAGTGATGCCAGTGGGAACATGAGAGAGAATGCTACCATTGGAGACTTATGGGCATTCTGAAATTCAAATGGCATAGGGAATAATTTAGGATTTAGGGGACTTTATTTCCATTCAGGCTGGGTTTCCAATAAATAATCAAAGTTTTGGATGCTTTGCTTTTACGAGACAAGTATATTTATATTGTGATTGTTGTTTATACAGTGTTTTTATTGGTTTCTTCTTTTTGTAAGCATCCTGCAGATTAGGATTGTTTGGATCCGTATGAAACCTTATATCATTCCCCTTCATTTTCAGCAACTATCTTGAAGGCATTAAGTCCCTCGCACCCTCTCTATTCAACTTTCTGCTCAAATTACCAATTAGTTTATTCTCCAAATGATTGCCTTACTTTCCTTATCCTTTTCTTATTTGTCTCATGGTTTCTCACAATCCAGAACCTTCAACGATCAACACAACATTAGACGTCAATGGTGGTTTTTGTGCTAAGAATATTATGATGCCATTGTTTAACTAATTGTCGATTTATACACTTTTCAATCTGTGTTCTCAATTTTGTTCCTTACAGCTGAGCAGGAACGAAATAGTAGAGATATATGGCACTCGGCATATTGGGCGTGACCAAGCACGTGGGCTTGTTGGCTTGATGGATTTCTTTTGCTTTAGCGAGGTTAGTTTCGGATTGTTTTCCATTATGCTTAGTGGACCGCCAACCTAACACCCAAAAAAAAAAAAAAAAAAAAAGAAGAAGAAGAAGAATGTCATGGAATTTTGGTTGCACTAGTTGAAAGTATGTGTTCAACATGCAGGTCAGCTTCGAGTGCATTTTATTACAGTTACGTATCCTGAGGACTAGTGGAAAATATAATGGTTCCGAATTCTTTGAATGATCATTATTCAAACCAGTAAGGTTGAAGTATATACAAATGTGCTTCATGAAAGCAATAATTTGTCTGAACTTCGATATCTCTAAATTGAGTAGATTCAATAATTAGGATATGAGTATTTTTGGATTGTAGGCTATGATGCATCACACCCATAGTCTCTCTCCATCCCTTATATTCTGTCTACTTTCCTATTTTAAGATGTCCCAAAATATTTTCACCTTGAACTGGAACTATTCATTTATGAAATTTCACTTGTTAAGTGCTGTTAAAAAATAGCATAGGAGTATTTTTGGAAAGTTGTGTGGATGTATTTTACATATTTAGCTATGTTTGGGGGCCAAGCCACCGCTTTCCTAACTCGAACCGTTGAGTCGGTTTGCTGATCTCTTGTAGTCCAAAGAGTTTTGCAACTTGGCATGCATTTCTTTGGTGCTATATGGTTCAGCTGGTATCTTAACAAGACCTGAAGTCAATTGCAGCTGATACATAGTGGTTTAGCAGTCATATTAGTATTCTTGTTAAATGATTCTCTTCATGGATCTGTAGGACCATTGACTGTTTGGCTTGTATGACTTGTATGACTTGTGCATTTTTTTTCTCTTTAATCCTCAACTACTATGTTCTCATTGTTATTTTCCAGGCTTGCCTTCTTGCAGATATGGTGCAACATTTTGTTGATGCCAAACTGGAATTTGATGCATCGTACATATATCAAGATGTAAATCGTGCAATTCAGCATGTTCATCGCAGTGGGGTGGCTCACAGAGGAATTCTTTCTGATCCTCACAGATACCTTGTGAAAAATGTGGGTTCTAAATATTTATATATTTGGCTGTAGTTACAATCGTTTTTCAGTTGAACTGAGGTGTTGCACATTCTTTTCTGGAATCTGTTCCTATCAGGAATTTGAGATGGCATTTCTGCTTCATACTTCTGACCTATTCTGTGGGTGAATATTTCAGGGTCAAGTACTTCGCTTTCTTACAATGCTAAAAGAGAGGGGCAAGAAGCTTTTCTTGCTTACTAACTCTCCTTACAATTTTGTGGATGGAGGGATGCGTTTTATCATGGAGGTATTCATCTTACAAGAATCCAATCATAACTTCCTCTTGTGCCTTAAAAGTGGAAGATCAGTATTTGTTCACTTTTCACAGCTACACTATCACAACTAACTGCTGGCCTGGCAATAAATTCCTTTTCCAAGATGTTTAGTTTGTTTTCCCTATAAAAGTTCAAGATATTTTGAGAGGCAAACACATTCTACATTTCATGTATGTAGATCTTCACTGCATTGTTTTAGAAACTTGTTCTTGATGTTCTGGGGAATATACAAAAGAGGACATTGTAAAACAGGTAATTATAAACAGTAATAGAAGTCAGCCTCATGAATGATGTAAATGATATAATTTCCTTGATGAGTAATGGATTTATGTTCTGAGGTATGTGAATGAACGTTCTCCTGTGAGTGGAGTCATGCTCACACATATGTGTTCATTCTGTGAATCCTATGCACCATTGCGGCTTGCAATTTTGACATTTTGAATTACTTTTGCATCTTAATGGTAAAAAGGTGATTTTTTTTTCCTGTAAAATAATATTTGCTACCATATTCCCAAAAAATAAAAACAGAAAGAAAAGGCAGTTCATCGAGATTTATTTCATCAAAAACAAGAGGTTGTAAATAGTTGAATGCTCCTGATTCTATTTTCTCATTCCAGTTGGAATACATGGAAGTGCTGAATTTATTCATTGGAAATGATTTGGGAACATGTTTAAATAGTTGGTTCAAGATTGCGCACTTATTTATATATTGTTTGGTTTGTTGGTTTTGTTTTTTTGCTGTTAGAATCATTATCGTAAGGTTGTTGTTATTACTGCATCAGCAACATTAATGGTAAGTTTCTTGGCTTGCTTCAACATGCTCTGTAGGATTCTTTTGGTTACAGAGACTCTTGGAGGGAGCTTTTTGATGTTGTTATTGCCAAAGCCAATAAGCCAGAGTTTTACACTTCTGAGCATCCCTTTCGGTTAGTATCTTCAATCTATGAAGTTCTTTGTTCATTTTGTGCGTTATTGCATGCAAGAGAAACCAGACGTGGACTTTGTTCTGCCTTTCATGATGTTCTAAATTTTCTTCTTTGGTTTTTGATTAATCTTCTTGAGAGCTTTATGATAAGAGCTGCAGCAGTCACGAATAATGAAGGCATTGATATGCTTTTTTTTGCAAATACAACCTTGAGAGAGGTTGGTCTTTTATAGTCAACCTGAAGATAAGATTATTAAGCATAGGGACCAAAACTTTTCAAAGTAGATTTACATCTTCTCTAAAAATGAGGGCCTTCTGTGCCTAACAACTTATGGGTGAATGTATTGTGCTGCTCAAGATGGTAAAATTTGTTGCTTTCTGTCTCAACTGCATTAGCAAAATGAAATTCAATGAGATTATGGAAGTGCAATTAGATTTACTTTATCTTGCTGACAGTAACTTCCTTGCCAATGCAATCCAACCTCCATGAATGGTGTCTATTGCTGAATTTATTAAATTGAAACGTGAAAACGATATTACTATCAGTTTTAGTTTATCTTATGCTATAAAATTAAGCTGCGAGCTTCATCCTACTTTTTCTTTTTTCTCATTTCAATTTTTTTCCCGCACTTTGGTTCTATGTCTGTTAACATTGAATTCCATGTATAATAATTTACTGTTTGATGATCCATCTTTTGGAACTTTACGAAGCTGTTATGACACGGAGAAGGACAACCTAGCTTTCACGAAGGTGGATGCATTTCTTCCGAATAAAATTTATTACCATGGATGCCTCAAATCGTTTCTCCAAATTACCAAGTGGAATGGTCCAGAGGTACATCATATTTGGATTTTTTGGTTTTGGGATGTTTGAATAAATTTTTAACTGTTATGATTAAAGACCAATAAGTAAAATTATATTTATGTGAGTTCAATAAGTTTGGTCTGCAAACTCTTTTCCCTGTTGAAAATTGGATGACATATTTGCTTACCTTATTGATTTGGGGAAATTAGAAACATGCCTTGAATATATGTCTTTTTCTCTATTTAATGTAGTTTTGCTTTTTACAATACAAATGTTAGTATATCAGAATTGACTTCTTCCATTCTTAATATCTTATCATCCTTCTCTACATATAGGTAATTTTGATGAAAAATTGATTTTTTTTTATTGAACTTTATTGCCAAAATTATATTAAATTTGATTCTACCTCTCTTTATAGTTTTGCTTTGATGTTCTAGTTATGATGAAAAATTCTTCTAATTCATATTAAATTAAAAAGGTTTGCTGAAACTCTGAGGACAGAGTTTTATTTGGCTGATAGAAGAAGGTATCTCTAATTATCATTTGGTGTTTAAGATTATGTACCTAAAGGCTGATAAAGGATTTTGATAACAAAGGGTATAATGAATAGCCATTTCTTCTATAGTAATTAAATTTCTTTGGAAAAAGTTCTTAATCTACTGAAAACTAAAATACACCTCATTGGTAATAAAGGAAAGCAGTACTTGTCTATGCTCCCTCTCTTTCTCTTCTCTAATTTCTCTCTTACTCCTGTTTTATGGAACTTTAACAATTAATACAGTTGGGGCTATTGGTTTTACATGCTTGTTGGACAAACGAAAATTTAATCACTTTGGCAAATCTTTATTTGACAGTTACACTGAAGATGTTTTATCCTGTGATAATTGAACAATTAACCTTTTATTTTCGTTGTAGGTGATTTACTTTGGTGATCACCTCTTTAGCGACCTAAGGGGGCCTTCAAAGGCTGGTTGGCGAACTGCTGCTATCATCCATGAACTAGAAGTATGGCTTGTTTCTCGTTGTTTTCTACCTGTCTATTAAATGCATGTGGCCATCTTTTTAAACATCAACTTATCAAGCACTCTCTTATTTGTGTTTTTTCATAATGCAGAAGGAAATACATATTCAAAATGATGATAGTTATCGTTTTGAACAGGTTTGATTTGTCCTTTTGCTCATTTTTTTTTTTTACATTAGTTGGCAATGTTTGCTTTTTTCTTTTTTTCCCCTTCCTTGTGACTTTAGCCAACTAGGATTCATGTGTCTGACTCTGTCCATATGTAGTTTCCTTTAAAGCTTTGTTGTATAGAGTAAAGTGCCTCTGTTTTTTGAGCTTTCTTTAAGCCCAATTCCTACATAGCAGCATCTCTGTTTTTTTCCTATCTATTATGCTATAAAATTGTGCCTGTCTCGTAAACATATCATGAAAGTAAATTACTTGGTTTCAACTTACTGGCAAACTTGATATGCCAAGGAAGTGGAAATGCATCTGCTGATTACGTCAAGTACATCAGTTTTCTGACTTCAGTTCTCACTGGCATGATTAAATATATTTATTTCTCTTTAAAAAAGCACAAAAATGTTCTTGTTTCTAGACTTCTGTAATTTGTTGAAAACTGGACCAAGACTATTGAACACTCAGGGAACTAGATGCGTATTTGCATTATAGAAGTGGTCATCTTATTTGCATAATTGAGTGCTGATAGTGTTATATGTGTTTATTTTCTGACCGAAGTCCCACTGGCATGATTAAAGCCCACAATTGATCTTTTCTGTGGGCTTCATTGAATTTTTGGAAAATGGACTAAGACTTCTCAATTAGATCCAAGGGCGATTACAAGCTTAATAAGCAGTGAAATCTGGCACAAAGGGGACCATAACACAACAAAAAGAATGTTGCAGAGCAACCTCTGTGATCGGGTTAGTGAAGTACTTGTAGTGATCGTTTGATAAGATGACATCAGACTCATGACAGATAGTAAGTGCTATAAAGATTCAAAAGACTTTACTTTTGAGTCAGTTTTACTTGTTCAGCAGCTGCTTTTGAAATTAGGATAGATTTGAGAAAGGTCGATCTCGTTAAGTTGGCTGAATATCTTATGTCATATCCAATGAAGCAAATATTTACTGTTTTAGTTGACGATAGCCTGAATCTTTTGTCATACTGTCTGCTCTGTGGTGTGCGTTTTAGAAAGGAAACAAGGGAAAAAAAACCTTCCACTCAAAAAACTCTCCTTTGGTACTTGCAATCTTACCCATCCATGAAAGAAAGCCTTGAAAAATCTGTCTGGGATGAATATGGTGGTGTCGTCATTTCAGTAGTTCATTGAAAATTCTCTGGCTTTTTATTCTGGCTGATATAAGCCCTATGTTGTTCTACTCTTCTCCTGGATGCAGGCAAAATTTCATATCATACAAGAACTACTTGGTAAACTACATGCAACTGTTGCCAATAGTCAGAAAAGTGAAGTGTGCCAGTTGCTTTTGGAGGAGCTAAATGATGAGCGGCTAAAGGCAAGAGAGATGATGAAAAAAATGTTTAACAAGTCTTTTGGAGCAACTTTCCTAACTGACACAGGTCAAGAATCAGCTTTTGCGTACCACATCCATCAATATGCAGATGTCTATACAAGCAAGCCTGAGAACTTTTTGCTCTATCCGCCTGAAGCATGGCTTCATGTACCCTTTGATATCAAGATCATGCCACATCATGTGAAGGTATGTTTGCATTGTCTTAGGAAAATCTTTCATTTTGCTATTCCTTACCGAATAGAAAATGACAGGGTATATTGGTGTTCTATGTGCTAACTTAAGGCTTTTTTCATTCTATTCCGGATGTTGTCCACATGGTCTCCTCACCATATGTTATGCTTCAATTTTATAAATCATCCAGGGTTGTCAGAACTCCGAAACAGATTGTATTTCTTGATTCTGTTTTCTGTCAAAGTGAATAGAGCCTATTAGTTTTCTGCTAAATGTTGGATCTACATGTCCCGTCATCTTTGATGTGGATGTGATTGTCACTCAAGACTGTTCCGTTGATCAAACGATGCTAAATTTCAGTTCTTAAGAAAAGAAATATTTTCCTTTTTTCTGTCCACGTCTTTGCTTTTAGCATTTTGACTCCTACTTTCTTCACCAGTCTCCTTTGTGTCTGTAGGAGGTGAAGCACTTTGTCAAGGCGTCAACTAAAGATTTGTGAACTCAAATTAGATTTTTTTTTCTAATTATTATTTTAGCACACTAGCTGAAACTGTATATTATCATTGTCTAAAATTTGGATACATCTAGGTTCAGCTGGATAGACGTTATACTTATCTAATTCTCTTTACCAATCTTCATCTCGTCTGTACTGAAAAATGTTGATCTTGTGATGTTTTCCTGAACCCGAGTTCCAATGGGACCTTTTTTTTTCTTTTCTTTTTTTTTGGGGGGGGGGGGGGAGGACCCAATCAGAATACATAATGAATAAGGCTAATGATATTTCTCATGTAACTTCGTAGATAGCAACCATCATCTCTTGAACCAATCTCTGCCTTTTGTTCTTTTGAACATTCCATCAAGAAATACCTATCTACTTCTATGCTTATAATGTGTTTTTTTTTTTTGTCCCTTGTAGGTTCCATCAAGCTTATTCAAGAACCAATAGATTTTCATTTTCAACGTGCTTATCTGGGGCTGGTTTGCCAATTTTCAGCATCTGACTCGCATCTTTGGATGATGACACTAAAGTTCGTTCGTTCAGACAAATGATGTTTCAGCAATGACGACATGACCGTACCCTTTCACTTATTTCGGTAGGGACTAGGTACACACAAATAATTCTTTCATCTGGTAACTAATGTTTGATCTATTCTTCAGCTGCATTTGGAGATGCAGACCATGCTTTCATGTATGTGCGAAGTTGTAGTTTGACATTTCAATGAGGTTAGGTGACTTTTCTGAACACGGAGAAGAGTGCCCTTAATCTTAGTTAAATGTACAATAATGTATTCTTTAAAATCTGTTTTTAGTTCTGCAGTTTCCATCATTTGCAATCTTTTACTAATAGATTGTGCCAATTGAAACTTTCTCAAGCAGTCAACAATTTTGTTGTAAGCTAATTATCTGACCTGTTTGTACACGAGTGTAGTTATTGGTAGATTTTGTGGGTTTCTGTTGGTTATAGTTTCACTTATTCAATTTGGATTATTACCTTGCATTGCAATTTGGTACATTACGATCATTTGCGACTGCTGCCATCTTTCATTTATGATAATCTATTATTTCAGAAACAATTATATAATAAGTGGGAATTGTGCCTTGAACACCAACTTGGTAATTGGTATATAACTAAAGTGGGAATGAGTCTACTCAAATTTCTATTGCACTAATTTGTTTATAGTTTCATGCAAAGTGAGGTTAATTTCATTTTGGATGATTTGCTTTTTGTCCGAACTTTTTTCTTCATTGTTTCTCTTTTTGGTGTCTGAAATGCCTTTTCAGATGGGTGGGGGGTCATTTAATCTTCTGTTTGTTAGTTATAAAAATGATGTATAATACTATTATGTACTTGAAGAGTCTTAACGACAACAATGAAGCTGTGGACTGTGGGGAGAGAGAGGAGGCTGAGGTCAATAAACAGATACCCAAGAGGATAAGTTAATCAAATTGTAGATTGCCTACTCGTAACAAGATTAAAATAAATAACGGCGGCACGGGACTCCTTCAAGCTGTTAGGTTCTTGGTTAACCAAAACAGCAAAAGCATTCTCCTTCTCAGTTTCTTGTGCTTTATCTTTCCAGGATGTTTTCCACGCAAACCTTTCTTACTTTCCTGGAAACCATGTGTCCCTACTTCTTAGTTAAGGTTTGTTAACTAATCTAAATTTCCTATGTTGTCTAAGAGAGGAAACCTTGCACGACTTCATAATTAAACTCTCCCCCCAATGGGACAAGGCAAGATGCCAAAACTTGCAAAAAAACTGAAGTTAAATCTTTTTGAAGATTAAAACAGTATTATTTAAACAAAGAAAATTTGGTTGACAAATGACAACAGATAATCTTGTTTAACATAACGATTCACGGTTGTGCACTTGTCCAATTTGCATCGATTCTGTGCTTGCACCCACTAAGATCCACTTAGAGTATTGGTAATTAATAAAAAAAAAAATTTCAGTGAAACAGAAGTGCCAACCCCATGGAAATAAACTGACTAGCAGTCCAAGATTCAATTCAAATCATGCTATGGGCCCAGCACTGTTCCTATCCCAATGGTTCATCAGTACCATACGTGTAAAATTGCTAGTTTGTTTCAGTGGTAAAGTTGATGCTCCAACCATCAGAAAAAGGTCATTCAAATGTAGACGTGATGTGATTCTGTTTGAATTGTGCCCGCCATTAAATGAACCTCAATCTTTCAATTAATTGTAGAATCAAAGTTTTAACGAAGGGGGAAGAATTCAAAGTTTCTACAAAAGCTACATGATGACATGTGGCCTGCCTTTTTACCTAGCTGCGTAGCACCTGCTCGATTATTTAGCAAATAGACTACTAAACTAGTATTTCACATCATACAGAGCACGGCGGAGAAAGTTTTGTCCCCACATATGACCCTTTCGTTTGCTTGTCCAACCTTAACACCAGTAGTTTTCCTCGGCCAACACAAGTTCACGTTTTCTACCTACTTAAACTGAGCAATGTTTTTTGAATTTGAACACAAAGAAAAATAAATAAAAAAAGGAAAAACAGATAGAGAAAAGTCTAGGTTTATTTTATTAACCAAAACAAGTATTTTACGTCTAGACACACTCTTGAGACATGCATGCTCAATTTTAGGGACTTCAAAAACCTATCCTTATTTCTTTAGCATTGACTAATAAATAAAAAGGTTTACGTGAAAGGATGAATCCTAAAAAGTCCTCCTCAACTATTCATCAAATATCATTTGTTATTAAACTCAAAATTATGTAAAATTACCAATAAATTATTAGTCTAGTAGTAAATGAATCGATCTTTATATGAATTTTTTATCAATATATAAAATTCAAATCTTAAAATCGTATTTGTTAAAAAAATTAAATTTCATCGTTCTTATTTCGAGCAAAATTAATTTTATTTCTAACGTGAGATAAAATATTTGAGTAAAACAAAAAATAAAAATAACAAATTATGTCCCATTAATTGTTTGATTATTTTGGTTTACTGTTAACCCAAATTAGGTTCCATCTAATTGCTAGCTGAATATAAGGACTCAATTAAAAAGAAAATAGTATAGAATCCTATCAAAATAATTCAAACATTACATGGTAAATGATGGGTAAAATTCAAATTTTTATTAAAGAAATAATTTTTTAATTGCCACACATTACTTTCACTTGCAAAATTCGTTTTTCATGGATGAAAACCTATAAAAATTAACAGTTGAACTAAATAAAATCAAATAATTTGTTCAGTGACTAATAACAAAATTTTCAATTCAGGAACTGATGGGACTTTAACCAATAATTACAGGGGTTTCTGAACAATTTATTTTCTATCAAGCAAAAAGATGGTGAGTAGATGGAAACGTGTAGGAAAATAGTTCACCAACTCTTCTTCTATTCGCGTATCAATTCTCACCTCCACGTTCTCATAATCATTGCTATTTGCTGCATCATGTATATAAAAAAGTTAATTAAAGAAGGAGGAGCAAAGAAACGTTAACAAAAAGAAAATTGAAAGAAAGCTAGAAGAGCTCAATGGGCATGGAAGAGCTACCCTCAGTTTGTGTTCTTGATGCCTCAACCTATGTGGGGTTTTGGATTCTGAAAGGACTATTGAGCAGAGGATACACAGTTCATGCAGCCATACAGAAGAACAATGTTGGCAAGTGCTTATCTTCTTTATCTTCTGGTGTTTTTGTTGATTTTGCTATGTACGTGTGTCCAAAATTTATGCTAATCATCAGCTTTTCTGTGTTGGGTTTTGTTCAGGAGAGACTGAGATAGAGAAGAAAATAAGGGAGATGGAGAGAGAGGAGGAAAGATTGGTGGTATTTGAAGTTGATGTTTTGGATTACCATAGCATTCTAATTGCTTTGAAGGGTTGTTCTGCTACGTTCTGCTGCTTGGACTGTACAGATGGTTATGATGTAAGTTTTATATATATTGTCTAGAAAACTTGCTGCTAGCTCATTCATTCTTCTCTCTGCTACAATTTTGTTCTTTAATTACGTTGTTTCATGGTTAATTTGGGCAGGACAAAATGGTTGATTTGGAAGTTAGAGGAGCAATCAATGTAGTAGAGGCATGTGCACAGACTGATACCATTGAAAAGATCATATTCAGCTCTTCACTAACTGCAGCTATATGGAGAGAGAACATTTGTTCACAGAAGGATGTAGATGAGAGTTCTTGGAGCGATCAAGAATTTTGCAGGAAATTGAAGGTTTGGACCTCTGGTACTCCCTTTTTTTTTTTTTCCTTTTTCTTTTGACTATGCAAACTTCTATGATAACATCTCGATGCTATTTCGCTTTCTTTTTTGTTTCCACTAGTAAGCATCTTGAAATCGTCAGGGACCATTTCTATGGTGCTAAAATCTTGTTCGCCTACTCAGCATCTTGTGATTGACTCACAAGGTCCCATTTCAAGCTACCATCCTCTATACGTTACTAAACTCATTTTAATTTAAGCTGCAAAAATATCTAAAATTTGCTCTAATTCGTGGGCAATCTAAAAAAAAAAAAAAAATCTATGATTTGAATTGAAATTTTTTTTTCTAATTAAAAAAAATATAGATATGTTACAGGGACGCTTATAATTTCGAATTATTTTTGGGGAATGGATAGAATTAGATTACCTTGAAGATTTATGGGCTTTGCCATCTCAGTGTTCTCTCATCTTTTGTCCTGGCAAAGTAGGGAAAGAGGAGAGGATTATAATTTGAACTTTACCCATTTAATTTTAAGAACAGCAGTTACAGGTTACACCCAGAAACAAACAAAAGAGAAGATACGTTTTGCTTTTTCAAGATTTTTCTCGTGAGAAAAAAAAAAAAAAAGAGGTTTTTTTGTTTGTTTCTCTCTGTGCTTTATTTATTTAGTAATGGTGATGTTCTGCATTTCTTGATGTTGAATTTCGAAATGATTAAGCTACGTGTCGTCCTGCTCTTCAACCAATGGTTTTGTTCTGTTTACATCCTCCACGGCAAGTTAATTATATTTAGTCCCTGTGGTTTATTAAAACTAATTAATTAATCCTCAATAGAAAAAAATATGAAAAGATTGACTAGGTAAAAAAAGTATTTTTGGAACAAAATATTATTAAAAAAACATAGTCAACAGTGGTTAAAAAACTATTTATTAATTTTTTTTATAATACTAGAGTTAATTTATTTATTTTAATAAATTATAAGGATTAAGTTATAATCAACTCTATGTTGCTTTGAAACAACTTCTGAAAGTTTCATAGCCAAACCAAACTCTCGCAATTTTTACGATTGAGTAAATTATTTTTTAGTCAATGTGTTTTTTTTTAATCAAAATAATTAGTTAGTCCCTCTGATTTAAAAAATCCACTATCACTTCCATATGTTTTTATTTCCATTTATAACTTAATATCTCTGTTTTGTTAATAAAAGTTCTAAGTTGTCACAAATTCATTTATTTTTCTTCTCAAAACACTCTTTTTGATTACAAATTAATCGAAAGCAAAATATGGGTAATTATGTCATTTTAAAAAAAAAACTATTGGAGCTTTTAAAGAATTAACAGTCTTAGAGAGAGTCAAAGGACTAGGTTGTAGTTTCTGAAATAAGAGGGAGGAAGTTATTATATTGCTGAAAACACCGGGACTAAATTATTATTTACACAAATTTATTTCTTCCATAGCTATATAAGAAGTGCCTAGATTCAAGTAAATAAGGATCTATATATAACTACATATTGTTGATGCTTTACCATCTCTTGTTTAATTTACAGTTGTGGTATGCCCTGGCAAAGACGCTCTCCGAGCAGGCTGCTTGGGCTTTAGCCATGGATCGTATGCTTGACATGGTTTCCATAAATGCCGGCCTGGTTTTGGGTCCTGGTGTCTCTCAACAAAACCCTTTATCAACTATGTCTTACCTCAAAGGTAATTAAAAAATAAATAAATAAATAAATAAAAGCATTCCTTTGCACATATGTTCATCATATTGTGAGATTCTGCAACGATCCTCAATCTATTTCATCCATAAAAAATGTAACAGGGGCAGCTCAAATGTATGAAAACGGAGTCCTAGCCTCTGTAGATGCGACCTTCCTGGCTGATGTCCATATTCGAGCATTCCAAGATCCCTCCACATGTGGGCGATACTTCTGCTTCAATCAGACAGTGAATACTGAGGAAGAAGCTGTCAGACTTGCTCAAAGCTTGAGCCCTTTGATATCGTTACCGCCAAGGTATGAATACCAAGGAAGTGAAGTGTACGCTGAGAGGTTGAGGGCAAAGAAGTTGAACAAGCTTGTTGAGGGTACGGCATAGGCCTTTTCATGGTCGTGGCCTGGTCAGGTTCAGGCTCGGCCTACATCAAGCCCGGTTTCTTTTTGCCCGCCTTCGCTCCAGTATTATTAGTAAAAAATAAAGTCGTCTTCAAGCTTGGTTATAGTTAGTGACTCGGTGTACATATTCTAGTTGATTAGCTGAATCATGGAGGAGGAGATGCATTTGATGGTTTATCAAGAAACCAAGGGTGCAATCTAGATATAAAGTCGATGGGTGATGGTTTATCAGCATAAAAAACGAAGGGTACAATCTAGATACAAAATCGATGGGTGATCATCGTATAACAGAGAAATCATGATTATTATTAGAAATCCTGTAAATTTGTACCAAGATGCTCTCGTAGCCATAATATATATATTTATATATATATTGTAGTTTGTTATATCTAGTTAGATAAATTCTTCACTTGCCATGTTATACTGGAGTTAAGGGTGGCTTCCTTCAATGGTTGTTTCGCTGCCTCCATGTGAAACTTGAGACCTAGTGGATCAGCATTTTTACGATGCAAGATGAAAAGAATGATTCTGTGCTCCACATGATCGAGGTTGGAAACCCAGAACACTGATGGAAAATTTGTGACTGCTTGTGATTTTCCGAAGTACTAAGTAATTCATCGTCGTGGGCACCCTAATGCTTCCAGTTTTTTTTTTAAAGGAAAAAAAAAAAACCAAACTTGCATTTGCTAATGCCTCATTAACAAGTGAGTGCTTGTGTGTGCATACACATCAACATTGTAACAAGAAATTTTGCTACTCACGCTGGGTGGAAATAAACCAAGAAGTGGACGATTTTTCTCCTCCGTAGCTACTTGCTAGCGCCGACTCATGAAGGTTAAGAGGCGATAGAAACAAGGAAAAAAGCAAGACCTGCATGGAAAGTTGGGCAAACTAGCACAGATGTTATGGTTTTGGAATTTAGATTTGATTTTTTAAGCAATAAGACGAGAGAAAAAATAGAGATCTTATTCCAAATCTTTAGCAATATCCCATGGATCTAATTAGACAATCTGTATGGTCCAACGAACAAAACAAGTACCTAAAAATCTGAAAACTTGAAAGTTAGAAACTAGTGTTCCTTTCTTCTTCTTGATGCTATCTCTAAGGCCCATGCCTTTCCCACTTCAGTCTGGAACTTCCCTGCAAATTTTTAGAATGAATTATTAAGGACCTGAAGGCTGCGACAAACACCACATAAATTAAATCTCACCACTAGTATTTAAATTTAATTTTTTTCCAACATAAATTAATGTGTGAGAGCTATGACTAGAAACAATCTGCAGTTGATAGAGAAAACTTGGACAAAAAACAAAAGAAGCCAAGCCCTGGTGGATAGTTACAGTCCTCTGCATGACTTAGAATTGGGGTATGCAATTTTTATAATTTCAATCCTTCTTCTTTTATTTAATCCCCAACCCAACCACCACCACCACCCCCCCCCCCCCCAACAACAACACACACACACACACACACACAGAAAGAGTTCTTGTTCTCTTTTCCTTTTTGAAGACTTTAAAGTATGATAACATGGCGTCCAAAAAGAGAATATTCTGCACGTTAAACTATCACCTACAGCTCATCAAACTTCCAAAAGTAAACATAGCCATATTGGACCTCCAAAAAGTTTAATCATTGAATGAATGCCCAGTTTTAATTTACCTCAAAGCCTTCAGTCTTCCAGCTACGTAGGTTATGAAATTTTATGAGAAGCTGTTTATTACTGTTTCAGATCAAATTTAGCTTGATGATATTCTACGAGTCAGCTGCGCCCAAAAAGATGTTGGTTTGACCAGTGATAGAGAATTTTAAATAAGGAATGGAAGCGAACAGATATTGGGAAACTTATATAGACAATCAAATGAATGCAATCCAATGCCAGGGCTCATGACATCTTTCATAGGGTTGTACTTTTTCCTCTCTAGTTCTGTTTCTGTTATCTAATAAAAAGTCTCCAAGAATCATTCAGCTAATAAACCATTTGACGATGGTAGACACGAAATTAAACATTCCACATGTTAGATATTTTAGTGCAAGTCTACAATGCATACTACAAAAATAGTGCATCCTAAAGATAAATGAACTGCAAAATTCACACATCAGAGTCATAAGCAAATGTAAGTAGGTTAAATTTGCTAGTCAACATTACACAGGTTAACTTGGAATTAGATTTAGCTCTTCACAAAAATTGAGTCTGCCAATCAAATCTTATGGAAAGTACAAAACAGCCATAGGCGAGCGCAGAAATTTACATACCAGCAGTTGACTGGAAAAATTCTTCCAAGTCTTTCCCTTGCTCTGTAAAAAACCAGAAAAGACTTCAGTTTCCACTTTAATTTTTTTAAATCATTGAAAATGCAGAAAAAAATGATACAGTAAAATACTAAAAATCAAAGGCAACAATGTCAAATAACATCCAGACAAGGCAATTGGTTTACGAGATGTATGCACTAAATAAGACAACTAAATGTGGCTATCCATAGTCTACATTCAGAAGACTATTTGACCCTATAATACAGAATGCTACACAAAACAAGGCCATATGACTGTACGAACAAAAAAAGAGCTTTATCTAAAACAATTTCCAAATCCATATAAACACTAAGCAGGTTCTCAATCTAACTCCGCATTTACGAATACATAAAGAAAAGGAAAACAGGAAGCCTCACCGTTTTCATATTCTAAAGCTTGAAGTATCATCTCAACCTAGGTAAAAACAAAAGGAAAAAAGACAGAATCAGACCATCCATTGTACAATTCCTGATAAGTGCCAATAATCACACACAACTCATCCATTAATACAGCACATATGAAATATTCTAATTTGACACCGGCATTTGCCAAGCAATGAATCAAACTCATGAGTTTTTAAAGCGACATTATAGATTCCTTAAATACCTCCATGGTTACTTGTTTCTTCTGCAAAATATTACAATATCCAAAAAGTTCAACACCAATAAAATCTCTAAATACTCATAGTTACACAATAAGGACGTTAATAAACACTAATACCTTATCAAAATCCTTAACAATTTTAGCTTCCAATGTTGAATTGTCCTCGTACTCATTCCACAACTCACTCATTTCCTTCGCTACAAATTCACAAAATCAATCAGTTCACCATCACCCACATGTAGGAATACTAACAGAAAATACAGGAATAAACAAACTGCAACCTCTTGACTCTCCACCAAGCAATTTGCACATATGCTCTAATGCTTCCCTCTCTTTTCTGCTTTTCTCCGCCTTCGGAACCCCATCCGAAGGGGTTATGTCTCCGACAATTGCTTCCGCAATATCATGAACAATCGCCATTTTTATACACCTAAAAAACAATAATAATTATAAAAAATTACCAAATGCAAGCAATGACCAAATGTTAAAAAATAAAACAAGAAAAATCCTAACTTGTCACGATCAATGCCGGGAATATCAGGAGCGATCAGAGCCATTAATCCCATCCTATACATATGATCTGATATTGATTCCGGTCCTCTTATATCCCTCTTTACCCATCCTGCTCTCTTCGTCGTCTATATATTTCAAAAATTAAACAAAAATTGTAGCGTGAGATAACAGAACAAAAACTTTCGAGCCAATTAAAAGCATTATCAACTTATTTGGGTTTTCACCTTGAGGCTGTGACAAAGAGAGAGAAAATCAATCGCGGAGGAAGGAGAAGGAGAAGGAGATGGAGAAGCTGTGTCGTTTATGATATCGTTACCGTTGGTGGCCATACGGTGGAGCTTGGAGGTAGTGGGAGAGGGAGTGAAGGAATTGAAACGTAGTTGAGCGGAAGTGAAAGACGGTGCAAAGAAGATTAGTGAGGATGATGATTTACAGAGTAAAATTCGGCTTCCACTTCCCATTTTTGGATTTTCCTTTTTTTCTTTTTTATGAAGTCGTTAATAATAATACTGTGTGAGTATATTCTCTGAAAATGAGAAACGCTGCAGAATTTTTATTGAAAAATATCAATTATTCTAAGTCTATTCGGAACTCTCTTTTTTTTTAATATGAGATATCTATATGATAATTGATATTTTTTAAATAAATAAACTCGTTTAAGATAATTATCTAAGAATAATATTACTTATTTTTAAATAAAAATAGAAAAAGAGAAAAATAACATTCTGAGTTTATAAGGAGATGAATCTTGATCGTTCATACTGTGAAAGATGGAAATTTAACTTTATACTGACGGTTTAGATTCGATTATGTAAAATGTTAACGAAAAAAAATATCTTTAGAAATTATATCAATTCAAAACAAATCATTTTCATAATACTTTAAGAATTTTCAATGCTTTAAGCTTTTAATTTTTGTGCGTCATCTTCGCGAAACAATTCATGCCTATTTGATAAGAAAAGTAGTTTGATTAAATTGTGAGGAACAAGTACATGCTGAACTTATGTATGTGAGTCTGTGTAAACGAATATATATTGATGTAAAACAAGTCATCTTGTGAGATGTGCCCTTTAAAAATCCAAAAAACTTTTTTAGTTATATTTTTCTAATTTATTTGTGCATTTTTTTTTATTTTTCTAATTTTCTAAGAATATCAAAACATTAAAAAACTGTTTCCACGTTCTGGAATTCAAAGAAACAAGGGTTTTATTTAATTTATCTACTTTTTATTATTATTTTAAACATAAGATAAATCAGACTCTTGTTATCTAACTTGGAAAATTTGCATTTAGGAAACATGGTTTTCTAATTTTATTTTTTTTTAAACAAATAAGAAAGCTATACATAAAAAGCTTTTTTGTGTTTCAGAAGCAAGATTTTACTTTAAAAAAAAAAACAAAAAACAAAAAAAAACAAAATTACTCTCGAAATTTTACATTAATCTGCAGGCCTCGACACATGTATCGTGTTGATTTTGTGCCAGAATATGCAATTAAGCTTTATTTTATAGTAACGCTCTCTCTATCTCATAAAAAAAAAAAAAAAAAAAAAAAAAAAAAAAAAAGAAGAAAGTATTTTTTATTTTTCACCGCTCTTTTCAACTTAATTTTTTAATTGAAATTTTATTAAAAAAAATTAAACCTAATGAAACTTAAAAAGTTATTGTTTTCATAAATATTTTTGTTAAATTAAATCAACACAAAATGGAAGGAAAAACTAGTTAAAATACCTTATATTGGCTATAAAAGCGAGAGAGGACCAATATTAATTATTATTTTTTTAACAATAAAGATGTCATGCATTTCAATATTATTTTTTTCTTGGACGTGGCAAAGATACTTTCTATCATACGATATAGAATATTCTAAAAATTAATTTTTAAAATTATTGATCATAAAAATCAAATCATTTACCTAATCTATCAATCAACATTTAATTAACAGCAGACTATAACATTAATCTCCCTCCTTCCCCTCCCCCCCCCCCCAATTTCCTTTTCTTAAATATATATAGTATAGTTTGGGCTATATTATGTACCGCACAACCCTTGAGAGTGTTTCTAGATGAATCGGCTCTTTTGAAACGTGTAATCGTGGGTTGGGTTATACTGTGCATTTGGACTTGGCTTGACATTGCCTAAGTGGACTTGGCTTGGATTCAGGCACCTAATTCTCTCTGGGCTAATTCCCTTTACGAAATGAAGAGACTTTTCTTTTCTTTTTTTTTCTTTTTTTTTTTTTTTTTTTTGCAAACTTACGTACGGAGCTACCGAAGTACTTAGGTGTTGAATTGTACTAGCTCATCATTGAAGAGCGGTACCCTTTGCAGAGGATGACCACTGCAATAACCAGCCTGTTTCCTCTTCCCCCACATTCTCCACGTTTTACTTTTCTCGTCACATGACTGATTGCGTTCCTCAGCTTTACCAAACCCGCATTTAATTCTTCCGGTGAGTAGATGTAAATGATTAACAGCTTTTGAAAAGGATCGTTTACCTGTTTTGGTTTTACTTTTATCACATGATCGTTGTCTTTTCGATTAGCAGAAGAGAAAAGGTGATGTGCACGTTGCAAAATTTATTTGGTCAGGAAGAGAGATAATGTTGTGTCTCTAGTGGTAGCCTTGGGTTTTTCTTATCTTTTGGGCTCTTGCGGTGTTATTAGGTTAGGTGAGTCAATTATAAATTAAAATTTTTTTAGTTTTTCAAAACGAATTGTACTGTTTTTTAAAATTCAGAAACTAAATAATTAATTTTTATTTTTATGATCTATTTGTAACTTAGTTTAAAAAAAAATAGAAAAAACATAAGTAAAAAATAGGAAAAATAATGAGAAAAAATATTTTTTGAAATAAATTAATATTAAATTAAATATGTCAACATTTGTCGAGAAATTATTTAACAAATTTTTTAAACAAAATAAATTATTTAATATTTAAAAAAAAACTAGAAGGACTAATTTATAATTTATCTAGGTTAGGTACACGCATCTTTGATCTTTCCATAAAGAGAACAGATTTAGATATGACAATAATCGGCAACAACTTCCAAAAATTAATTGACACGTGATAGCAACCTCTCCATATGGGATCTGTTTTCGAGTACATTACTGTCTAAGCAGGAAATGCTCGCAATCTTATTAGGTTTACCTTTTGTATTGAAGTCCCAAAATAATGAAAAAAAAAAAAAAGCCAAATCATCTAGAGATCACAAAACACAAATGCTCAGTCTATATGCTTAGGAATTACTCAGAATATTGGAAATTATATTTCTTTTTTTCCATAAAAAATGGCATTCATAAATTATTTTTGTAGTAAATTCTGTATTTTTTAAGGAAACATAATACAATTCTTGATATATCTAGTAATTTCTCTTCTAAATAATATATCTTTTTGATGAATTATTTTATTTATCAATAATTATATTTTCTTCTCTCGCATAAAAATAGAATCTACAAATAATTTTAATAATGGATCTCATGTTTATTTAAGACAAAAATATACAATTCCTGATATACATAATAATTTATCATGCATTTGCTTTAAATCATATAGATAGATAGTTAAGTCAAATACTGGGACTCTTCAGTACACGTACGGTTGGCTATGCATGGCTAACACATTTAGGTCATATGTTAAGACTATATCATAAATAAATAAATAAATAAATAAAAGATTAACGATCCAATCATTCGATCAGTTCGAGAGTTATTGACGAGCGCTTCACCAATTTCTTGATTTATAATGTTGTAACTATTTAGTACAGTCCTTTTCTTATTGAATGACATTCTTGTGCATAAGAAAATCAATATTCAGGGAAAAATTCACTAGGAAATACAACAAGTTATTTGATAATCGAGTTTATAATTATGTTGGTTGTGGGACAACACTTTACAAATCCGCTAGTAAATTCAACTCTGGCACGTTGGCAGGCTTTTTACAAAAGTTTTGTTGCATATGATAGTTTACTGAAAGTTTGAAAAAAATGGATGATGGAAAGTTAGAGGAGAGGGAAACAGAGAGTTAATTGCGTTTGGTTTGATTATTTGATTGTATTTTGATCCAGTATATTTATCAAATTAATTAATCATAAATAAATAAAGGAGCTGTATAGATAGTAAAAAGCATCAAATTTCAAAAATCACATTACGATCAATTAAACTTATAAAAAAAAACTCAATAAATACAATAAAAATAAAAATGAGTGAATTATATATATATTAAATTTTAAATTTAATTATAGATTTTCAAATAATAGTGCACTGAAAGTTTGAATACTATTAATTTTTTTTAGCTTGATTAAGATATTTAATTTTTCATTTAGTTTTGATTGAGTTTCTTATAATATACTCTATTGTGTAGTTGAATTTACAATATCATGTGTCAAATATTTATCGATTGACTCTAAAGTTATGTGTCGTGTTGGATTAATAATAAATGATGTCATGATAAAAGATTTCAATTAAAACTAAAAAAGAGTAAAAAAATTAAAAGAGTAGTGCTCATATTAAATTTAAAAAAAAAAAAAAAAACCCTAAAACATTATCTTAACCTAAGGAGATCAAACGTAATTATCGTTAGGCACTTTTCCAGGATCATCTTTCCAGGGGCTAATACACTAATTTCCACGCCATAGAAAAAATCAATAAATTCTATGTTAAAAAAATAATTAAAAATTGAAGAAATCCACGTCCTATAAAGAGTTCGTTCTCAAACTTAGTCGGTGGAAGAGATGTCTTCACTATAAAATTGACTAGTATTTTCATACAATCAGACGTTTAGAATTCACGAAGTTGGGTCCAGTGTGTAAATATAATACTATTAGTCTCGCATTTTTTTTAAAAAAAATCATCTGCGTCTAATATTCCAATCTTTACATAATTGTTATTAACGAAGCACGATCACCTCCCAAACATCAACGCATGTTAGCGAATCAAAAACGGGCCCACAAAACTGTCGGTAGCTTTTTTCATTTTTGTTTTAGTTTTTATTTCTATTTTTTCAGGAATTCCCACATGACTTTTTTTTTTTTTTTTTGGGCAGTTTCATTGGATTCTTCTCCGTCACAAAAATCCAAAAGAGCTGCAGCTATCATTCTGATGGTTTAGTTGAAGTGTCTTAGCACCATTAATAACTGCTGATAAGGACACTACAAACCAAGAAAGATCGACCAAGACGAAGTGTCAAGCAAAATCCCCCACAAAAAAGCAAAGAACCTCTGTCCTCCAGTTTGTGTTTGTTTCTTAGTGGTTTTATTTTTTATTGTTTTTAAAATATTTGTTTAGATTTACTAAGAAGTGTTTAGTTTTTTTATTATATTTTAATACTTATCTTGTTCTTAATTTTTTATAAAAAGTTTTTTTAAAAAATGGTTTTAAAACAATTTAAGAAGATACATTACGATATTTATCGTCTTTCTTAATCTTTGTGAAACTTGAAAGAAGACGGAGGAAGTAGTACACTAACAATACAAGTACCCACAGAAAGCCCACCCAACAATAGCCCATCCACCAACAAACCCTTCCTTTCCATTTTCGTCATTGTCGGCAAGCAAGCAGTCTCTATTGCTAATAAATCTCATGCTACATTGACTAGTGCAGCTTTACAGCTTGTATCTAAAATATGCGATCCTAACCCTTGGATTTAGCGGAATCCAGTGGATGCCGTACGCTGTCATTTTGTTTTCAGACAGATCGGGACCCAGCAACCAACCCTGTATCACGGTTGTCCCAGCTGTCCATCTTTTCTCTTAGCTGTAACCTGTCCTTTTTTTTCAGAAGCTAAATAGGTCTTCTAAGGTCCATCTTATCTATCAATCAATCATTTACCTACAACTCCAAAAACACTCTACTCTGTCGTTAAAATCAACGAACTCAACCCAATTATAGTATTTTAGAAGCAGTAAAAGTAAGAGCTGAAAATACCAAAAATGGTATCCTCGACTAAAAAATTCAGCACCACACCCCATGCAGTACATGGGGAAAAAAAAAAAAACTCCTTAAACCCTATTTAAAAAATTACTGTCTTTTCTATTTATATCTATATCAAGTTGCATCAAAAAATTTTAAATGCTGTACTTATGCTGTACTTTCTTAAAATATTTTAATTAAAATTCATTTTATGACTAATAATTCTTATAAAAGAAAAATATTTTCTAATATGAACAAAAAATCTGAAAATCGAAAAACGCAATTCTTTTAGCAGAGAGAGAGAGAGAGAGTAATTACTATCAAATGTGTCAAATGAATAATCTTCCTTTACATACAAAAAGAAATTAAAGAAAAACAACAAAACTGAGTGTTGCCCCTCCAAGAAAAGAATAATGTGTATTTTTCTTTTCTTCTTTTTACTTTTTTCGACATTGTCAGAATTTCTTTTTTCCCATTTGTCATTCCCTTTCTTAAGGGGAAAACAGAAAAGAACCAAAAAAAAAAAAAAAGAAGATAAATTCTAATTTACAGCTTTCCCATGATTATAGCCGTAATAAGAGAGATACCACTTAACAAATTTCTTCAACCCGGTTGCCAAATCAGTAGTCGGTTTATACCCAAGTTCTCTTTGCGCCAAACTGATATTTGCATGAGTGAAGGGTACGTCACCGTTTCCAGGCATATCCACAAAATTCCTTTTCGCTTTCACCTTCAAATGCCTCTCCAGTATGCTCACAAGGGTAGGTACCGTAACTGGTGACGTGTTCCCCAAATTAAAGATCCGATAAGGAGCGGGTCCCCTTTTCTTCCCACCAGAACCTGTGCTTTTACCCGAAGTATCCAATGACCCAACACAACCTTTCACAATATCATCAATGTAAGTAAAATCCCGGGCCAAGTCAACCCGATTCTTGCCCCGATAAACTGTAATCGGTTTCCCTTGTAAAATGTTTCTCGTGAAAGAAAAGTAAGCCATATCGGGTCTTCCCCATGGACCGTACACAGTAAAAAATCTTAACCCAGTAATTGACAGACCATAAATGTGATTGTATGTATGAGTAATTTCCTCACCTGCCTTTTTTGTAGCGGCATAAAGACTCGCCGGTTGGTCCGTCCGATCAGACTCAGAGAAAGGAACCTTTTCATTTAAACCGTACACAGAACTTGATGAAGCCCAAACGACAGACGGCTGAGGGTTAGCCGATTTACAAGCCTCAAGAAGAGTGACCAGGCCGGCTATATTTGAGTGCACATATGAGTGTGGATTCTCCATGGCGTATCTAACTCCAGCTTGAGCCGCCAAATGCATCACGTGAGTGAAAGCCACAATATCGAAAAGCCTAGCTATTAATCGGGCGTCGTTTATGTCTCCTTCAACGATAAAAATCCCATGGTTGTTAAGGAGAGATTTTCGGGCTTTCTTCAAAGACGGGTCGTAGTAGTTGTTAAAATTGTCTATCCCGACGACGCCGTCCCCACGTTTCTTGAGAGCTAAAGAAACGTGGGTTCCAACGAAACCGGCTGCTCCGGTAACAAGAACTGACTTGCCGTTAGAACGGCGGATCTGGGCAGAATTACGTATTTGTTTCTCCCATTGAATGCCACCCCAAGAAGCGGTGAAATACCGGCTACCGGAATCGACAAAAGATTGGAAACTCAAATAAGACGCCGTTAAAGCTACCAAGAAAAGTGCCCACAAGAACATGGTGCTTGTGGAAGCGAAGCAACGGTGGAACTGACGATTCATGGTGTGGTTACGGTCGATCTTGAACTTACCAGGAGTTGAAGGGAATAGCTCGTCCTCTAATGATGGCATTTTGTTTCGATATCCTTGGGGTTCTGTTGTGTGTATCTAGGGTTATATTTGGCGTTTCTTGAAATAGGTATTGGTTATCTTGAATTGAAAACAAATTGGGTTTTTTTTTCAATTGAAGAAGAAGATAAAGTGAAAAATGGATACAAAAGGACTGGATACAGATGCAGAAAAAATAAAGGGAACTGCACCTGCTAATGGAAGGAAGCAGAAGAAGGAATATATATAGGGGTAACCCACAAAGAAGCGACAAGTAATACGCGTGAACGCGTTAAAGGACGGCCAGATTGGAATAGCAAGGAACAGAGAAAGACTGTAAAGAGACAGAAGATAAAAGGAAAGAAATTATTGTTACGTCGTATTTGTTGAGTTTTGGACTTCTAACCGAGAGACAGTAGATAATGGGAGACCAATTGAAATAATAATAATAATAATATTATTATTATTATTAATAACTGCGTTGTGTTGTGTGGTGTGAGTGTGAACACACGGTTAAGGAGGTTGTTTAGACAGAGTGGACTTGCACTAAATTACATTGAAAAATGAAATGGTGGTGGTAAATAATTGAAGTAATTTATTTTCTTATAATAAATAATTGGAAATTTTTTTCTTTATGAAAATGAGGATCTTCAATAAAGTCGTCACACAAAGCACAAGTCAATAGTAGAATCATGGTATTAATGTAGTGTTTGATTTACTGGCTTGCTTAATTATGAACCAGTCAAGATAATCTCCTCATAAATGTTTTAATTTACTCATTTATCTTATTTTCATGCAAGGGTGCAAGACATCCATCTGTATTTTAATTTTGATTAAGATATCACCAATTCAATTCTTTCATAATCATTATTAAAAAAAATTATCCTAAAAAAAAGAAAGAAATATATGGCTAGTTTTATTCAACTTGGAAAAATTAAGATATTACTAAGTGGATTTAAATTACACCGTTCATATTTCAAATCTGATAATTGATTTTGAATTTAATGATTTAAATTAAAAAATAAAATAATAATGAATTATGCTGTTATTGTTTTTATTATATGTTAAATTATATTCTTTTAATTTTAATCCTATAACTTTGATTTAAGGAGGTAAAGGTCAATTGGCTCACATAGGGTTGAAATAACACTATGAATTTTTTATTGGTGCTTTAATTCCTACTCTTTGAAAAATGGTATAGCACTTGTCTTTGCAATTGGAAGTATACGCAGACATTTTTAGACGACGTGGGAGAAGGAAGAACATGGGGCTCATGGTCCATCTGGGGTGTCGGAAATCGGTGTGCATTAGAATAATGATAATAATCTGATTAGTCATTGACAAGAATAGAAAGGAATTGAATAATTTTAGCGGTGCTGGATACCGGAAGAACCGGTATGACTAAAAGATGTTACGGCGGTTGGAGGTTGACAGAGAGACAAAACCTAAGAAAACAGGCTACAGCCAGCGTAGTTAAATGGGCGGTGGTGAATAAACTAAGACCTGTTACAGATTTTTCAAAATTATAGTTAATTACGTTAATGTTTTTGTAACTGACATTGTGCTCCTTTTAAAATATTTGCTTGCAATTTACTTATAATAGATGCCAACAACTTTACTTACATGTTAGATGTGCTGTGTTATGAGTTGGATAAAATAGATAAAATTATGAAAAAAATTATTCTATTTTAATAGTCTATATAACATTATAAGTTTATTAAGGTATATCGAATTAAAAATAAAAATATTTTTTTACTTGATTTTATAATTTTTAATCAAAATTTTGTAACTAATTAATTCTTCTTCATGTTTTTCATAATTTTTTTTTAAATAATTTATTCTTCTTTGTGCATTGATTGTCAAATAAAAATATATAATAATTTAAAGAAAAAATTAAATTCAAAATAAAAAACATCTTAATATTTTTTTTATAAAACTATATGAAGAAAATAAAACGATAATTAAAGTAAAAACTTGCATAGGATTAACAAATGACAAAATATTTTTTGATTATTATTTGATATTAATGAGAAGATAATTTTTTAAAAGTGTGTACGATATATATATACACAAAATAATCAATAATATTAACGTAAAATAATTTAATTTAATTTTTTTTAAAAAAATCTTACTATACCGAGTGGATTAAAATCTACAACATAAAATAAAAAAAAATCAATAAAAAAACTTAACTTATAAGAAATATATTGAATAAATTTATTGTTAATAGATTACAATAAAACTATTAAGGAATTAATTTTAATAAATTTTAATTATATAAAAAGAAGTAAATAAAACACTTCAATTTCATTTTTTAAAAAAATATTTTTTTTCCGAGCCATATATTCCTCATTTTCATGTACAGGCTTCACAAGTAAAATAATCATTTTTTTTTCATTTTTTCCCTTTAATTATCAATTAATTATATATAAAGTTTTTAAAAAAATATCTGAAATACATCTTTAGCTTATAGATTACATATTATTACCATTAAGGGAAAAAAGAGAGGGGGGGGGGGGGGGGGGGTTGGTTTAAAAAAGAAGAAGGAATCGCTTCTTATTGACCAATTATGCAGGTTTAAATGGGTCAATATCAAATCTGAATAGACCTTTTGGTAGCTGATTTAAATTTCACAAAGTTTAAACGGGATGTTGTAAATGACTATTTTGTTTTGACGACATTCAATATTCATCCCATCATCGTAGTCTTTCTGCTATCTCTTCCATTTTCATTTTTCAATCTCAGACTTCGTCTGCTGTATTCGATTGCTTCTCATCTGTCAGACATTTTCTTTTTCTTTAGCCAGCTTGATAATCGCGGTGATTGGACCCACCAGAGTGAGTAATCTTTATTAACATTTTAATTCAAGATGAGCCATGTCATTGGTTAAATTGGCTGGCAGGCATGAATATCATATCTCTTCATCTGACTTTTTGTGGCACAGTTAGGCCTCCTCTTCGCTGCTGCCTCCAGGAACTTTCCAACACAATTCTTTTGCAGTTATTATTGCCAGAATCCAATGCACACTCCTTTTACTCCTATTATTCAAGTAGCGATTGCTCCCTTTTTGCTTTTCTTTAGTGTATGAGTACCGGAGACAGTAATTTTTGGGATCTTTGTTGCTACAAAGAAGGTCCAATCACAATAGAAATAGATAAAAATAAAATATATACGATATGCCAGACAAAAAAATCTTTTGAAAACCGGATAATATGATTTGTTGGTGTCTCCGCTAAAACCCAAAAAAAAAAAAAAATCAAAATTTAATTTGATGCGAATTAAGACCAGTAATGTCATTCTGATTACGTGAATCTGTTTTTTTTTTTTTTCTAAGTGAATTATTGGCTACTTTGTAGAAAATTATTATCCATAAACACAAGAATCCACTCGTCATCTACTCCGCATTAAACGTGGCCGAAAACCTACGCTGTTTAACAGACAAGGAAGTGAAGATAGATCACAAATCGTTGCTTACTTGCAATTTTGATTGGTTCGGAAATGGAAGAAGTTCAATAGAATCGGCAAATTGTTTACTTATATTCACGTCTAGATCATGTCAATTCTTCAATTGACTTTCGGTAGTTCTTAGAGTCGTAATATATTTTTATTAAACATTGTTTATGAGTATAATATAGTTATGACCCAATTCTCAAATCATTTTAGTTGCTTCTAACACTTGATCCTGATACCGAATCAAGTTGTAGTCAACAGCAGCATTGATTTGATGTTTGAAAAAACCCATTCTTTAAAAGATTCAGTATTGTTTGTCAATTGATGTAAACAGGTTGGTTTGAAAAAACTAAAAATATCATAACTTAGTCCATGCAGTTAATTAATCAATATTAATGGTTTAGAGGACTATATATTTAATCCTTGCATATTTTAATCCCTCCAAATAATTTTATGTTCATTTTTAACTTAATATAATTGTTTCTCTTGTAAAAATAGAAGAGGTAAAATGGGAATTTGATTAAGAAGGAAGAATTTTGGAAATTTTTTTTTTACTAAATCAACACAAGCCAAGGAACTATATAATTATTTTTGATATTACAGAAAGTAGTTAATTAGTTTCGATAATCTAAAGGGACTAAATCATGGTTAACTCTAACAAGATGCAGTAATGGACTAGCCACAAACGTAATTGGTTTTATTTCTCTTTACAAAACCTAAAATAATGATTTCAACAAATTCAGACGTTGTTTGGTTACAAAAAATAAAAAAGTTTGAAATGAAAATACAATCAATAATCGAAATGAAAATTAGAGAATCAAAATGACATTTACATTTTCATATTGTTTTTTAAATAATAATAAAGAATTAAAGTGAAATTTAAATTTTTAATACAAATAAAAATAATAATTAAAAAAAATTTCATAAATAATAGATGTCATTGTGATAATAATAATGGTGATAGAGTAATAGTATGAGGTGATGACAGTAATAATAGCAATATAATAATATTAATAATATATATTTTTAAAAATTAATACCACTACCACAGGAGGTGGTGACAATAATATAATAGAAGTGATAATAGTTATGAAGAAAAGATAATAACAGAATAATAATAATTTTTTTTTATCATCATTGCAAATGATAATGATAATAGTAATGGTAATGATGGTAGTTGAAAAAGAATGATGGCAAAATAATAATATTTTTTCTCTAAATTTTTGTTTGCACCATCGCTAATTGTGGTGGTGGCTACAGTGACGAAGCAATTAGAAATAGTCAATATACAATAAATAAAAATAATATATTATTATTTTGAAAAAAAATTATTTTAATATATATTTTTTTAATTCTCAAGTTCTTAGTGAGAATGAAACTATGATTAGTTTTCATTTTCATTCCTTATTTTTATTATTATTTTATTTTTTTAACTAAATAATTATAAAGTAAAAACAAAACTTTCATTCTCATTCTTAGTAACTAAATAACATTTAATATAATACTTGCCCTAAAGTTTAGAATTCTTAAGTTTGATTCCAAATTTTGATAAAAACTTATCACAACTGAATTTCCTTTTTCAAACTTTCTCTTGTTTATCCAGTTTGATTGACAAAGTCGGCAACAACAAAGAAAAAGAAAAATAGAATCCTAAAGCAACAACAGCTCGTGGTTATCTGTCAAACTTAGGAGCCTTGACTCCAATAATAGTCAATAACCTTTTTTTCTCCTCATTAGAAGGCCGTGCTGTTACTTCCCGCTTCCCGTCAGACGAGAGCTAAATAGTCGATAGATGATGAAAACTACCTATGTTTGCCCAATCCAAAGTCTTGACGGATCAACGTAGGAGCCAGTGGGGAAGGATGACAAAAATAGTTAGAGGTCAAATCAGAAATAATAGGACTTCAAAGAAGAAAACAATATTTTTTGGAGGGACCAAATTAAAAAAATAGAAGGGTTTTTACGAAACTTAACTAAATTTGAGGGACTATAATAAACTTTTTGGAGGACATGGCCCTCTCATGGTTGGCCTACGCACCGTAGGAGAATGCCGTAGCTTGTACTCTATATATTTCCTTATTTTGTTTTTAAAGGCAACTGCTGGTAGTTTTTTGCTCCATTTGCACTCACTTCATCTATTCTTTACTCATTACTCACCAGTTCTTTAAACTTGGCAGTGAATTCAAATTTTTTAAGTTTCTATAGCAAGATTGAGAATGAGATTGGTTCTCTCAATAATTTTATTTTGGATTTATTTTTCGAGAATCGACATAATCATTTCTTACGAGGAATTTACTTCTCTCTTTTAATGTGCAAAAGGGACATGGACATGGGTTATTGCGACCGTATTCTTCATGGGCTCAACTGGCAAGTTCAGGTTATACGGGCTTTTGGTGCAAAATCAAAATAAAAGATATGTATCGGGCCCCGGTTTAAGCCCATAAATCTTCTCACAACAAATCCTTCCTTTGATTATCTATTTATTTATTTTAATTTCAATAAAACAATTTTTTTTAAAAAAATTAATATTTTAAAATTTTGGAATATATATGGTTAAAAAATAATTAAAAAGAAAACCTTTGAGTCTGTGATGCAAAAATTGCTACATCCACTATGTGCTTGAGAAAGTCCTATAATTCTACTCAAGAATATTAAACTGAACTAGGTGAGTCACCTGTTTAAGAAAGAGCTCTCAATGAGTACGCCATCTCATAAAAGGAGTGAGTTTGCATACACGCAAAGATAACAGAAAAATAATCGAAAAAGGAACGAACTTCCTAACAAAATTTAATAAGAACTGGAAAGAATGATGAGACTTCAAATTGTGAGCTGTTCCACCCGACCATTAGATCTCTAAATCACCATCTGCCTCAATCCATTTCCATCCAATATCCCTATATATATTGCTAAATACATGCAAGAAATATTGTAGACTCATTAATAACGAAGGCTTTAGTTCCAGCCACGCATACCGTTTCGGTTAATATAGTTTTTCATGGCCACGGGTATTAAACTAGTTTAACATGATTAAGTCCCTTAATCAATAGATTGATGAACTACATGCTTTCAAATGAAGAAATATAACATTTATTTGCCAAATTGGATCCACACTATGTTAGGGGACCTGGGATCGATCATATGCGCAGTCTTTGGCTCCAAGGAATATATATTCCTTTCGTCGTCCAGAATATGACAACATGCATCAAGTGTAAGTCTACAGGATCAAACAATTTCTATAGATGCCAGTCTTCGAGGACACAGATCAAGGAGATCCAAGCACTTAATTAATGAAGCAGTTGTCTTTTACATAAAGAATATTTATTTAAACTTTTGGGATCTTGGAAGAGTAAGCAAAAGATTTTGCAGAAGCTGGACCGCTGGCTAAGTATATATATTGAGACTTGAAGTGCACTCAATCTAAACCTCTTGGGACGCAGTGGTCCATTCAAGCTACGTACTGAGAAGGCAGCATTGGACCTTCTTTTTATCTGGATAATTATAATATTGACAAATTTGAACTCTCTTCAGTTTTATCCTTGTCATTGATTATGTATCATGGAGTCTATTTAGGTCCGATTCAAATCATCCATCAAATCTTCTCTTTGATTTCTATTATATGCTTATAAAACCATTTTCAAAATAGGCCTAAGGATTTGAAATCATGTTTAATTATTCAAAAAATTTAAATATGTTAGCATCCAACATGTATCTTGAAGATTGCATCGTATAAGGTACAGTAATATGTGAGAGATTTTGAAGTAACTTCACTTCATAGGTTTATGCAAATTAACTTTCATGGTCATGAAAAGTGCAGGTTGTGGAAGATTTGGGAAATCAAACATCCGTAGCATCAGTTCAAAAAAAAAAAAAGGCCGAAAATCTTAGTGTCAACTGTCGAGGAAGAAATATGGTAACAAAAAGGGGAAAAAGAGAGACAAAAGAGCATTAAACACCAGGAAGGTTTTGAAACCTTCTTAAGTAGACGCATTAACGGTAAATAAGGTACGAATGACCATACCAAAGTACATATAACATAGGAGAAAGACAAAAACATTCACAAATTTGTTTTGTTTAATATTTATTCGTAATCATAAGGCAGGAATTATATTTCTTCTTCCAACAAAGAGAGTCTTTTTTGCTTATTTACCATGCCCGTTTCCTGACCCGGCCCTAGAACCAGCGTAGGAACCAGCTTGTGACCCTGCACCGGAACCGCCACCCGACCCAGAACTAGAGCTCGATGAAGAAGAGGATGAGCTAGAACTTGACCTAGACCCAGATCCGGAACCCGAACCTGCTCCGGCACCAGAGCCTGACCCATCACCACCCAGCCCAATACCCACTCCAACACCCAACCCAACCCCTAAACCTCCAAGGTCCAAGCCCAAGTCCTTTCTTGCAACCCGGCTTTCACTCACAGCTAAAGACGCAACAAGGAGACCTAGAACTGCTAGACACTTCATATTGGCCATTTTAAAGCCAATAAACCAGAGGTCCAAAAATATAAAATACTATGTATGTATATGCTATATAAGAGTGTTGTTTTAGCTATTAGAGAACAGAAGTTTCTGTGAGATGGAAATGGAAAGATAGAGCTATATTTATACTTGTAGACAGTGGGGTTTGGTACTTGGTAGTGGATATAATTAAAAAGTTGTAGGCGTGGAGATTGTATCAGAAAGCAGTGGATGGACATCATGTGCTCATATGCTTTATGAATTATTATTATGCATTGCCAAGTCTAATGTGAACATTCCTTTTGTACATCACAGTAGTTCAGAAAAATTTGTGGACAAAAGAGCTGAAAACTGGATTGCATAAGTGGGAGATGATTTTGGAGTCTCTGATAAGTTGGACAAAACATTATGAAGATGTGTGCTGTCCCATTATAGATAGTGGACTATGGTAGGCCTGTACTGTCTGATGCTGCTCTGGAGGAAATTAAAGAAAGTTATTGCTTAAACACATGTTGAATATGCTAGGGAAGATAGTGACTAGAGAATTATTAACAAGAAGGTACCAGAAAGTTCAAGATTAATAATCAATCACTATATATTCTTTTTGAAGAAAAGAAAGAAGCTAATGAACTTCGGAATTCTACTTAACTGGTTGAATGCATGCAAGTATCAAATAAAAAGACAATTTGGCAAGGAGGAATATGATCTTTAGTTGTGAAAGCTTTGAGATATAAATTGTCGAATTTGGTTTAAGATCACTAAAATCTCGCAGATCCTAAGCCGATCAAAGTTCACATGCATGAAGCGATTTTGGTTAGCTATTATTAGTTATGTTTGTTCATTAAGCCCAAAAATTACTAAAAAGGAGTTAAAATTTATTGAGAAAATTGTTATAAGAAATGTACACGCACATATAGTTTTCAAAAAAAAAAAAAAAAACTTGCAGAACACTGAAAAATTCTTAGTACGTCTCTCTCTATAACAATCTATTTCTATAGTGGTTCTGGCATCTGTATGATGAACCAGGTGCGTTTTTCTTGTCATCGCATATTGACTCTTGAACACATGGAATAAAAAAAGGTTCAGAGGGTTTCACAAACTCGTGAGCTTTCCGGGCTATGTCTCGCTCAACCTATACAATTACAAAAATAGTTTTTTTGATAGATAACTTGCGGGAAGACCTTCTATCCAAGGTCCACATCCTCTCTCTGACTATAGCCTTCTGCTGCCAAGCGTGCTTTGAACCTTGTTGCTTGAAAATAACGATTAATGAAAGATTATTTCAATGCGAGTTGAATACGAAGCATCATGAAAATTTTGAAAATCTAATTTTATCTCAAGACTCAAATTGCCAAACAAGCAACCAACCTTCACTCTCATTATCCCTAACCTTCCCATGAATTGGATATGTCCTCTCTTCTCTCTCCACTCTTTTGTTGTCCTTTCTCTTCTCTAGCATCTCTCAGTCATCTACCAGTCTATTGTTGCTTGAAAGAATGAAGAATAGCATACCAAGTCACTGGCTATACAAATTTCTTTTTTTTGGGATAACTTACCACTAGATGATCAAATAGCTATTGTTGTTTTGAGATGATAGTATGCAAGTTTATACATAAAAATAGCAACAACTAACTTTTGCAAATCTCATTACTTTTTTTTTACTGGATTTATGTTTAATTAGAAATTAGAAATGCATTAGATCACGATATTAAGCAGAACGAGACTCACTCAATGAGCTAGATATCATCAAGGAGCCCAAAAAATTGGTCTTAGCCCACTCCAGTGAAAATAGGATTCGGACCTTTGATGGAAACGAGTGTGGAGTCTTGCAATTTACCTTTGAAAAGAATAGAGGTAAAACAAAATTCACAAAGGCAGATGGTGCAGTATAAAATGTACATCCTACGGCTTCATGTGGTTCTATTGCCATTCCTATCCTATATTATGTATGCGCATACAGGGCAATTTTTGTATGGGACAAGAAGCATAGCTTCGGCGCTTATTAAGGTGAGATTTTATTCCATTTAAAATACTTAAAATTTATGATATGTTGGTTTTTTTTTTAATTTTATATATAACTCATTTATTATTATTATTATTTTCCTTGAAACAGTTTTTATATATTTATTTCGAAACATATGTGCTTTTTTTTTTTTCAAAATAAAAAAACCATTATATTGTGATTAAAAGTAATCATTCAGGGATTTGATTACACTTTTCTTTATCATAAAGACTAAATTGTATTTTTCAAACAAAATTAAAGGATGCAAAAACTTCCAAATAATAACCAATTGTAAATAAAAGATAAAGTGACTAAAATATTTTTTTGAAAATAATAACAATTAAATGGAATTTTGTGAATGGCCTCATTATATTATTAAAAAAAAAAAATTGCAACCAAACAAAATGTAATGAATCATCCCATTTCATTCCATTAAATATTAAGTTCATTATTTTACATGATTCATTATGTTACTTACAGTACATTACTTTATCTCATATCAAACCTATCCTAAAATAATTTCAATCATCATTCTTATTTTTCTTAAATAAAAGATGACAGACACGGTAGATAAGGTACTAAGAAGGTACAATCCACACATAAGAACACATACATTCACCGCCTACTAGTTAATTGATTCATGGTGATCAACTAAATCATTTATTCTTTCAACATACGAAGTCCTACGTACATGCTCTTTAACCACGACCGTTTCTTGAGCCTGACCCAGCCCTAGAGCCAGCGTACGAACCAGCTTCAGACCCAGCACCGGAACCACCACCCGACCCGGAGCTAGAACTTGAAGAAGAAGAAGAAGAGCTGGAACTTGAACTAGACCCAGACCCAGAACCCGAACCCGCTCCAGCACCAGAGCCTGATCCACCACCACCCAGCCCAATACCAACTCCAGCACCCAACCCAACCCCTAACCCTCCAAGGTCCAAGCCCAAGTCTTTTCTTGCAACCCGACCTTCACTCGCAGCTAAAGTTGCGACGAGGAGACCAAGAATTGCTAAACACTTTAAATTGGCCATTTTTTTCAAGCCTAGCAACCAAAGGTCCAAAATATATAAAGTATGGATATGATATATAAGAGTATTGTTTTAGCTATTAGAGAATAGAGTTTTTGTGAGATGGAAATGGAAATGGAAAGATTGAGCTGTATTTATACTTGTAGATGGTGTTGTTTGGTGTATATATGGTAGTGCAAAAAATTAAAGTTGGTAGGCGCGGAGCTGTAGCAGCTCGGAAAGTAGTGGAGGCTGGAGACGTGCTGATGCGCTTTATTTATGAATCATCATGCATTGCCAAGTGTGCGGGATGAAAACATTTTTCTAAATTATTATTTGACAAAAGTTTGTGGCTAAGAAAGGCTGAGAATTGGATTGCAGTGAAGGTGATTATGGAGTCTGAAAGGTGCGCTGGACGCAACATTATGAAAGAAGGTGCCTGCCGTCCCATGAATCCCAAACCCACTAAGATAGTGGGGTTTGCATGATTGGGTTGTACTGTTGATGTTGTTATATGAAGGAAAAGAAAAATGCTTAAACATGTTGATCAATACGCGAAGGAAGATGATGAACATATAGAATATTGTCACTTGGCTAAAATTATTAATTATAGAAGATACTAGATATATCAAAGATGGATTTATCAAGATACATTCCATCTCAAAAAGTCATAGACCATCTTAAGAAATTATTTGAGATAGAATATTCATTATATAATGATAACATTTTATGTTGATCTTTAATATATGCTTCGTGCGGTGTTATCTAATAAAAAGATTGTCAAACTTACAGGGAGACAGGTAGGTAGCTAGGAGTGCGTATGGATCTACTAGAAGACACTATATATCTAGATAGCTAGCAAGACAGTCTTATTTTTTCTGCATTTGTTTTTTTTTGTGGAAGAGACACTTTGCATTTTTGGAGTTTAATGTGTACAAAAATTGTATATGGAACAATAAGTGTAGCTTTCCCACCGGCTAGCTATGCCTTAAATTGCGAGCAGCCTAATCTTTTCTTATTGTCAAGCGATTTACACAGTCGAAAAGGCATATCCTTTGTCACGAGTCTTGTATTTCAAGCAATACTTGTCCCTAGCTACTTTTGTGTTCAGTTCATTTGAGTACACTATGTACATGTTTCTTTTTTCTATCAATTCCAACCTCAAAATTTGGAAATGAATGATTCTAGAATCTGTACCTTACCAGATTGTACTTATGTTGTGTTGGAAATTAACTTCTAATTTAATTAAAAAAATAAAATTATTGTTAAATCCAACTTATATTTTGTTATTCATATCAATTTTTTATTGTAAATTACTAACAAAGTCTTACATTTATTATTATTATTGTTTGATCACTAACTTGATGTGAAAATAACGTGCTAGTAATTTATAATAAATTTTTTGATGAACATAACGAAATATATAATAGATTTAGCAGTATCTAAAAGATAAAGATGGTAAGATTTGAATTTCTAGCAATTTGTTCAACAATATCATGATATTATATCTCAAGCTTTTAAGCATATTATTGTTTAATATACTTTGCAGTATTATATATATTATTCATGTTTGATCAATCACTAATATCCATTGTTTTAATGGTATTGTTTTACATATGAACCATTAGAGTTGTGACACATTGAAGTCTATATTATTAATTTGATTAATTTTGATATTGGATTATCATATGTAGATAAATATTGTTTTTTCTATTTGATTTGACAATTATCATTGATCAAAGACTCATTTAATTTTTTTTTTAATATTTTGATGTAATAAAAGTTCAATCTACTTTTCAAAATAATTTCAAAAAAAAATTTAGGTCAAGAAGTATTTTTTATTTTTTCTTAATTCATTAACTATTAGAAAATTAAAATTAATAGAAAATAATTTAGAATGATCTCAAATTTTATTAGAAGACCTAAAAAATCATAAATTTTTTTTGTTTAATTTTGCAAAATCATATATGTAAAAATTTTGAGAAACGCATTAAAATTACCTATATGTAAATTCATATCATCTCCTTAGAGTTTTCAAAAAAAAAAAAAAGGAAAATTTTGATGTTTTATAATTTATTGAATTTTTATTGTTCAAAAAATAAAAAATACTTTCAAATTCAAAAAGCTTTGACATTATTTGTGAAAGTGGATTGAATTTTAATTAGTTTCTACGAAAAAATTATGTGGACAATTCCAAAATTAAATTTTTTATTTTAAAAGTGTTTTTGGTCAATATAAATGGTCAAGTCCAACGAAAAGACAATATTTACCAAAAATATAACAGCTAGTTCAAAGTCACTCGAGCTGAAATATACCCTTTCTGATACTTTCTAGCTTCTATACATGTACAATGTATATAGACTTTGACGATCAGAGTGGTACAGATACAAAGCCAATGATGGATGACCAATTTTATTTCTATTAAAGCAATTAATCCAACTTAATTTGCCATTTCTAGGCAATTATTGGCATGAACTGGTTTTCTTAGGAGTCTAATGAAATCAGGGTATGTGACGAATATTCTGGATTTAGAACCCATTAGGGCCAAGAATATATCACTTTTTTGCCTTTCTTGACGAGGGTAGGAGGTTGTGTGCAGCTGAGGAATAGAAATAACTTGAGAAATATTTCTACAAAACCTGGGTGGTTTTGAAAAAATATTCAATCATTAGCCAGCGGTTGACTTCACACCCACGAACAAAAGTTAATGGATTCTATATAAATATGATCCGGATATCAACTGTGATATACCTATCTATCCATATATATAGAGATAGAGGTTTCGATAAAGAATATAAATATATAATAATGAGTAAACATATATTTAATAAAAATAATGACATTAATTTGTCATAAATGGACTAACAGTAGAGTTGTAACTGTAATTAAGTGCAATTTCATCATTTTTATTTTATTTTAAATGTCTGTTCGTGACCCTTTTATATCACCACTTTTGGTTAAATGTGTCATACAGTTCTTCTATAATTCTAATCTTGAACTTTTGATTGTTTTCGATCCTTAAAGGAGCGTGACTCTATTGGATTATATAAAGTTGAAAACGGTCATTAATACTAATGTTAGTTTGGATTATTCAAAGATTAGTAACCACCAGAAACAGTGGAGATATGGCATTATTGGTTAGAAATAGCACGTATCAAAGTCCCATGCATGATCAAATAAACGATTTTTCTGAACTTGGACCTTTATAGATTTATCGGTGTAGTTAGTATAGTCAGAAATAAGAAATAAAAAGTGATCCACATAAGTTAGTATAATCTAGTAATTGTGTATTTGATAATTTTTTTTTATAAAACGAGTTCGAATCTTAATCATTTCAAGTTATTCTGATTAATTGTGTTTGCATTGTGTAGTCTAAACTTCTATAAACTTTCAAATAATAAAATAAAATAAAATAACAAGTGACCAAAGAGCTATGGCCTTTTGCTTCATCTATATCACCACTTTTTTCGCATCCAGATGCTTGAAGCTGACGATGAAAGGTGATATTTATGAAAGAAATACATAAGACTGTGAATTAATTGAGAAGCCATGCACGTAAACACAACCATTGTAGACGTCATGAAATACATAACAGGTAGATACCTAGCTTTATAAAAACTCCAACACTCTTATTTCACCATCTATTTATTTATATACTAAATGTGACTTTTATATTTCACTAAACTTGTAATATATTTTTATTTAATTACCACTGCTACTGCCACTGTCATATGGCCCGATCCTTGTCCCCTGCCTTCGCCGTAGCCTTCACCATTGCCGGATCCACTTCCCTTCCCAGAACCCTCGCCATATCCAGAACCGGAACCGGAGCCTGCTCCACCACCTTATTTGCCACCTGTTCCTGATCCGGCCCGAGACCCGGCATATGAACCTGCTTCAGAGCCCGCGTCAGACCCACCATTAGAACTTGAACTGGACCTGGATGAGGATGAAGAGGACGAACTTGACCCAGAACGGGATCCTGAACCAGAACCTGAACCAGACCCAGCTCCAGACCCTGAGCCACTTCCTCCTATACCAAGGCCCACTCCTGTTCCAATCCCAACTCCCACACCACCAAGATCCACACCCAAGTCTGTTCTTGCAACCCGACTTTCAGATTCTATAGCAGACAGGGTCAGAAGCAATGCAATAAAAGCCAGAGCCTTGTATGGAGACATTTGCCAATGATGCTATCAGTCACAAAAGAGCTCTGGATTGAATTAAAGGTATTGCAAGTGAATATGAGACTAGAAGATTGATTTTTCCGTTGGAGAGACTGTGGAGAGACCATGGTATTTATAGTTGAAGATTCTGAGCCTACAACTACATTGTTACATAAAACTTGTGAACTAGTGGAGGGAATGAATAGTTTTTTCACAATTTGATCGAAGTGGAAGTGGAGGTGATGATCTGGCTAATCTTGGATTTTGCTGGACAGAAATTTGTGGCTGAGAAAGTTAACCTCCTGGAGATTTCGGTGTTTTTTTGACAAGTGTTTCATTGTTGCCGCCCCATTTGATCTGCCACCACCGTAGTGGAAACATAGTGTTAACGTGCTATTTGCAGTATTTCTGTTGGCTTCATTATCCTGCTTCTACGACTGCTGGCATTTTTTTTTCGTATGGGTCCTATTTTGAGGACTATCAAAAGTGGAATTCAGGCATCACCAACTTCCTACACTTTTTATCGCAATAGCTGTTTGTTCCAATGGCAATGCCCTCTTAATTTACATATACAAGGAGGTTACTGATCTACTTTGGGAGAGTGAGCTCAGAAGATGTTGCCTATAAGAGGTAGCCACAACTTTATAACGATGGTCAATTCAGTTTTTATTATGGTGATAGAACATTTCTCGCGTAGCTACTAAATACATGTTATATTAACTCTTGAATGTTTGATTACAGATTGTGAATCATGGAGTTTTATCTATATGTATAGCACTTTTATTGATAATATAGCCGCAATAAAAAAAAAAAAAAAAAAACCTTGTCTTGAAAAAAGAAATAAAACCTTTGCTTCACCGATTTTTTGTAGCTAGTTTGCCACTGTCTCATTACTGTTGAATCCTTATCACATTGAAGACAGATAGATTACAAGTTCTTGTAGCTAGCTAGGCTCCCAAATAGGCTCTTAATTCGATTCTATCCACACACAAACACATTAGAAGTCATTCTAGCAACCAAGCATGATTTATTGTAATGCTTAGGCTGTAATTCTGTCATAAAAATAATATTCTACGAGCTTTCTGCATATGAAGTACGATTATCAATTCAATTTTCCGCTGTGAGACTGATACGTGCTACTGCAATGTGCCTTTGCTCGGAAAATACACAAAAGCAACCACCACCACCACCACTAACCCCCATGCGCGGCAAACGCGCGCACGCACAAAATTTTAACATCATTATTATTATCCAAAACGATTTTTTATTATAATAATAAACAGTGATAATTACTATTCATTATTACAGTACTTTAGTTTTTTTTTTAATTTTAATTTTTTTCCCCAACGTGGCCTTCTTTTCCTCTTTTTTTACTGTTCATATGAACAATAAATGGCTTCCTCTTCCTTTTTTTTTCTTTCTAAACATTGAATTTTGTTTAAAAAAATTTCCATCCGTTACTGTTCACATGAAAAATAAACCTGGCTCTCATTTTTTTTCTAAAAATTGAACTTTTTTTTTAATTTATGTTTCTTGATAATGTTGGGTATTAAAATTTTAAAGGAATCATTAATTAATTGGGTATTAAAATTTTAAAGAAACTAATAATTTATTTTCTTTATTATCTATTTCTAAAATTTAAAAACACAAATAAAAAATAGTTAAATATAATTTTTTATGAAAAAATTATAATTATTTTTTATCATAAAACAGAGTTATTAAACTGAAATAATTTTTCTAAATAATTTTATATATTTTATCCAACCCGCAACGTAATATGGGTCAAAAATCTAGTATTAAACTAATTAAAAATTTATTAAAGTATGAGTCAAAAAATATTTTTCGATCAATTAAAAAATATTTAGGAAAAATCACTTTCAACTACAATATTAGACCCACATTAATGTGCAATTGGCATGACCTTAATTTGCTGATGTGATTCAGGTTAATGCTTTTAATTTTGATTCAAAGAAAATTTATAACCATATTTGATTAAAAAATATTTTTCAAAGCTTTCCAAAAAACTTTTCTTTTATTATTTTGATTTTCTACTTAATTTTCAAGTAGCAGCGACGCAGTGACTCAACTAATTGATATCATTATTTACTCAAAGATTAAGGGATCGTTGCGGATCCATATATCACAAGACTGATGCCGATGGATTTGTTCAATGAGTTTTCCGCTTTCTAGTAGCTTCTACCTAATTCCATGCTCAATGTATTTTCTTAATTTTCCAAATCCACATCCAGTTTTTTTTTTTTTCCTTTTCATTTTCCAGTTTCATCCAACTTACGTAGTGTTGATTAACTAACCATGCACGTCACAGTTTCTAGTGATTTTGTTTTTCTTTTTTCCCTTCCAGATAAATGCTAAAATACCAAATAAATTTGAAACAGATAAGATTAACTTTAAAAAAGATTGTAATTTTATTTTTATGTATCATACAGGATAAGAATTAGTCTAAATTTTTAAATTTAAAATAAACTAAAAAAAGTTGATGTCTAATATGCGAATGAAATTAATAATTAAGAGACGACATAAGCTCTAACATTATATATTGCATTCTCTAACATCACATGTAATTAAGTTGATGAAGTAATACATAAAAATGGTTCATCACCGGTTTTATTTATATCACAAAAAAAAAAAAAAAAAAAAGGAAGAAGAAGAAGAAAGTGGTGATTAATACTACATATGGCATCTGTTGCACGTTGATGTAACTTTAGTTTTTGCTAAAAATATAATAAATTCAATTGCCATCACCCCTCCCGTATCCTTCCCCATAACCATAACCTTCACCATATCCTTCACCTTCGCCTGACCCTCCTCCTCTTCCTGATCCTCCACCATATCCAGACCCAGACCCAGAGCCTGAACCGCGGCCCACACCTTGACCCGATCCAGAGCCACCTCCACGTCCTCCTTGGTTACCCCTGGATCCTGACCCAGCTTGTGATCCAGCGTGTGACCCAGCATATGAACCTGCTTCTGAGCCTGCATTTCCAGACCCCGAACTTGAACTAGAGGAAGATGACGCTGAACTTGAACTTGAACTGGACCCACCTGCAGAACCAGAGCCGGATCCAGCTCCAGCTCCAGCTCCTGAACCACCGCCACCACCTAAGCCAATGCCCACACCTGCTCCAACCCCAAGTCCTATGCCACCAAGATCCACGCCTAAGTCTTTCCTTGCTACTCTACACTCAGACACTGAGCTTGACATAGCAAGAATTAAAACAACAGCAACTAAAGACTTAAGTGCAGCCATTGCTGTGATGTCAAAACAAGAAAATTAGTTATAGCAAATGACTTGTAACAAGAAAGAAAATGCAGTTTGAAAAAACCTCAATGCATTAATTGATTTGCTAGATAAACGAGAACCTTCTTGAATGGCTTCATGGGAGAAAAGCCATAGGGAGTTAAGCTATTTATACTTTCATGATACCAAGTTTGGTACAAAGAAAAAGTTAAGGAACGTGTAGTGTCCAAAATTGAATGATGCAGGTCAGTGGAAATGCTGATTTGGCTTAATATTCCTGTAAGAAATTTTGCTAGACAAAACTTTGAGGATGAGAAAGTAGCATTCTTAGAGATATTGTTGGTGATCAACACGTGGCCAAATGTTTGCCGACCCATTTGATTTCCACTAACCATAGTGGAGTACATTTGGCTCGTAATTTGAGTCAACACTACATTTGTACACATGCATTGCCTCTAACCCATGAATTCACAAACACTGTATATCTAAATTAATCATTTTTGTGCTTATCTAATACGATAAGGTCAACACCTTCTTCGGATCAACCTAGAGAGTGTATATTGGATATACTGGTTTTTCTTAAAATTAATTAAGTAGCTTAATTAATGTTATTATATATATATATATATATATATATTGCCATGAGTCTAAACTATACAAGAAATAAATTAGATGGAGGACGGAGTTTGCTTAATAAAAGATCTTAGTCGCGAGGATGAATACAAGTATTCTAACAAAACTAATATCTATGCTTTATCTTTAGAATGTGTAAAGAAAATTAGACTTGTGAGTGTGGAACATAGTGTGCAAAAAAAAAAAAAACCCGAATCATTATTTTCTTTAGTTTTCATTAGCAATTTGAAACTATTTGATTCAAAAAAACTCAATTTTTTCCACTTATTTCTAATCATCTAAATATGAATGATGCGACAAAATTTTAATAGCCGATAACTATCTTTAATTAATTATAAATGGCAACCTCATGTCATTATGAGGAAGGTCTAATTTTCTAGTTTTTTAACAAATAATCTTTAAGCATGGCTCTCAAGTCTCTCTTGCTCAGTAAATAGGCAACATCTAAATCTTTTTTTTGTTTGGATTTTAACCATTTATGTATTTATCACTTGATTTACATCTTATTAGTACTATTTGTTCCTCCTTTCAAACTTCTCACAATTTGGATATATTTTATTTGATTAGTTAGTTTTTTTATTTACAAATTATAATATTATTATTTTCTTATTTTTATTGATATGCTAATCAGTCTTTTGATTAGTTCTCAACAACTCTCCACTCAAATAGCTTATTATCAACTTCGCAACTAAGCCAATAAAATGATTTAGTTAGATTGTTGTCTTGATTTTGAAATCCAAGGTATTCTGTTGCCCTAATTCAAACCCATAAGTTTTCATACAATCCATCTATCAAGGTGCCATATCGGATTTTGTTGACTTTTTACATTTCTAGCTTTTATATAATTTGTATGATATTGTTGACACTTAAAATTAACATTTTTCGATTAGCTTTTAGTAATTGAGCTAACGTGTAAGATTGACGGTGGCTAGAACTAAATTCAAGTCTTGAAAAGACAATTAGTATCAAATGGGATATAGACAATACAAATTCAATTGCAATTGTAAATCAAGTTGTGGAAAGAATGGCTTTTCAAGGAATCCATGCTAAATTTATTTTGATTTGTCCTTAATTGTTTAGGAAAAAGCTATTAGGAATTAGTCGAACTTACTTTCTAAGCTTACTTGACCATTAAATTTAAAATTCTTCATAAATAGAGAATATTGTCATTGTAATTTTTTGGCCAGCCCAATAACAAATAAAATTTGACAAATTATCTTTGAAGTTCTTTGTCTTTATGCTTTGCAATTCATTTTTCTTTACGGTTTTTATTTGCAACTTTCTTTACCACTTTTCATACTATAGATTTTAGTTTTCTTATGTTATATATATATATAGCTTATTATGTTTTTCTATCTCAAAACCTTAACTTATTTTGCTCGGATTAACCTCTTGTTTTATTAGGATTTTTTTTTAATCTAATATCTTATTTGATCTCTTTTAATCTTGTATTCGTAGAATCTGCATTTATTATTTGATCGTAAAGTATTATTGCCTTCTCACAGACTAAGTTATAAGTATTGCATTTAGCTCTTCAAATAAAAATAAAAAATTAATTGCTAACAAATATGTTTGATATACTTTTAAAAAATTATTTATTTTATGATTTTAAATTAAAATAGATTAACATGAAAGTATAAAATAATATTACAAGCCATGATTAATTAGTTTAACTTGTCATTAATTTTTTTTTTTAATGTTAAAGAAAACATCAAGCTATTTTTCACATATGTCAAGATAAAGTTCTTTTTCAATTGGATTCTAACCCAATTTGCACCTTGTATTCGAAATTTATTTATTTATTCCTACTAGCGTTGATAATCTAATTAATTCGGTTAAATAGTTTTTTTGTTGAATAATCTTCTCTTATCTTTATTCTATTTTTTAACAAAGACAAAGACAAAAACAAAATAAATTATAAAAAAATAAATTATAAAACAATTAAAAAATAAAAGGATTAAACTTATAGTATCTAAAACTATAAGAATTAAATAATTACTTTCATCGATTAAACTGTAATAACTAAATTATACTTTCCTCGATAAATTAATAAAGAACTCTTTATTTTTATTCTCGAGTAAAAAATACAAAGTTTTTATTTTTATAATTTTTTTTTCACTTTTTATGGTAAATAACTTTTTGAGTTATACTTAAGAGGAAAACGTATTAATTCCTGACTGCGTAGAAAATTAAGTATCATACCTTCATAATCTTCATCTCTCAATTTGGTATGACCGTATGAGTGAGTTTCAATCTCATTTGTTTCCATGTGAATAATATTTAACTTAATTGATGATAAATTTCAATTTGTCCTCCTAGATTTATATGTTGTCTCAATTAAAGCCTTAAGTTTTTCTCATATCACTCATTGTTACTCCCAATCAATCCCCACTTTTTTTCATTTCTACTCCTATTTCCCTCTCATTCAATCATCAATTCATACCTAATTAATACATAATCAAGCGGCAAATCATCAAACCAAGCGAAGCATTAAAAACCCTAAAATTCAAATATTGGAGCGAATGAGTTGTCCTTCCTAACCCTAATTTTTTTTTAATCATCAAATTTAATTTCAGTTGACATAATTAGACATTAGTTGCATGAATTACTAGCTTAAATTCATTTTTTTCAATTTTTCCTCATCAAAAACCCTAATCCTATTTTTCAAAGTTAAGGTTAATAAACATAAATTAAAGTATCCAAAATATCAATTAACATCAATTAAACACTCTATGTGATGTAGGTGAGGTTAACTTACATAAACAAGCTCCAATTTGTTGTTGGAAGATGAAATTTCTTTCCTCATTTTTCTCCACTAAATTCGACCCAAATTCTAATTTTTTCATTTGATGATCCTTGCCCTTTTAGCTTGAATTACTTATTTAACTAAGTGATTTGGAGTATTTAAAGGTGATTTTAGTGAAATTTTTGGGTGGAATTCCTATAAAAAATTTGCAAGAATTTTCCCTAAATTTTCCAATTTTCAAAATTATGGCTAATAAACATAAATTAAAGCATCGAAAACATCAATTAATATCAATTAAACACTACTTGTAGTTTAGGTAAGGTTAACTTATATAAACAAGCTCCAATTTGTTGTTAGGAGATGAAATTTCTTTCCTCCTCTTTCTCAACTAAATTCAACCCAACTTCTAATTTTTCCCTTTGATGATCCTTGCCCTTCTAGCTTGAATTACCTATTTAACTAAGTGATTTGGAGTATTTAAAGGTGATTTTAGTGAAAATTTGGGGTGGAATTCCTATGAAAAATTTGCAAGAATTTTTCCTAAATTTTCCAATTTTCTAACATTTTTTCATAATTCCTACCACCCATATTTATAGACAAATTAGGTGGACCTTTTCTTTTGATTGACTCCATCACAACCCTTCATTTGGTTAAATCTTGGCTCTCAATTTTTCTTTTAATCCTAGCTTTTCAATTAGTTTTATCCTAACCATCCATTTAGTTTTTAAATTTTATCCCTCCATCTAACCACTCTCTTTAAATCTAATCCTTCCATTTTTGCATGCATTAATTACACCCAACCGATGAAGTCGACATGGGTGGCAAAAGGGAGAAAAATCTCTTTGAAAAATGCTTAATTTTGCTCCTTAAAGTTACTAATTTTTTCTCTAATTACTCCTTCACAAGTCTTTTAATTATTCAATTGATTATTTTAGACCCTTCTTTTAAGGGTTTCCTAACAAATTTTTAACTCCTAAAGTTCATATCTAATTTAATTTGAAAGTTTAAACTTTTATTTTTATGCAATCGGTCCCTAATTTTTACGCAATTAGGTCCCTAACTCTAAAATTTTATTCCATACCTTTCCAAACTTCAATTTCTTTTCATAATAAATTCAAACACTTCTTAAAAATATTTAATTATCATTCACATAATTTTTAAACACTTATTTAGGCAAATTAATTATTGTGTAAAAATACACTTTTTTTCATAGAAAATATTCCTTATGCATAGAAAAATTCATCTAAGTTTATAAAATATTCCTACACTTCCAAAATGATTTTTCTATACCCATTAGATAATTTTCTTGTACCTTTAAAGTACCTAAATTAATTAATTAATTTACTTTAAAAGCACTATTCATGCACAATAAAGTTTAAATAAAATATTTACAGAATATCGGAAAATTCATCCAACATCATCGAATAATCTAACACCCCTCTAGCAAATATTTTATGCAAGCAAAATATTTTTCATGTATATTTATCATGCTTAAAATAATTATTTCACACAAAAAGTTACTATTTAAGCATAAAAAAATCATTAAAATATTCTCTCGAACATGAAAAACTATTTTAACTACTCTAAATATTTTAGTATCCTTTTAAGATCATGCCATGCTCACAAAATA